CCTCTTCTGGGCGTACGAACTCGCTCTCGTCATCGCCCGCTGGGTCGGATCCCCGTGGCACTGCGTAGACGGGTACAAGGGCGCAGCATCAACAACGTGGCTCGCGCTGCAGGACCAAGCGTCCCTGGACGAGCTGCAGGCGGACCGCGTCAAATGGGGCAGCAGCTGTAACCGGCACCTTGAATCCGGCGTGAAGAAGACAGAGGTGGAAGGCTGGGGATGGGAGGGCAAGCCCGAGACGGACGAGACGATTGCGGCGGACCCGGCGCAGTGCTTGCTGCACAAGTCGGTGGGGAGACGACTGGGGACCAAGAACGTGACGGAGGAGATGCTGGTCGAGTTTGAGGTGGAGGGGGCCAGGGCGTGGCGGGAGATGGAGAGGTTGAGGCTGCAGTGGGCGGATATCTTGAAGCTGGGCAAGGAGGAGTAATCTGCGGTGTTCATGTATGTGGTCATTTGCCGGAATCTCCACACCTTTTGGAGATTGTGAAAGTGCTTCTTAATGATGGATTCTAATATGGCACGAAGATAATACCGACATCGTGGAAAAGCATGGCTACAGAAGAGAAAGAAAGAAAATGGGTATATATTCTTAGAACGTATCTGGTATCAAAGATGCGCACGTAATCACTAATCACTACTACCACCACGACAATGGAGTTTAAAGACGCACATTTTTCGTCTTCTTTTTTACTGTTCGTTGGTAGATTTCCAGTCGCCCTTGACCCCTTTTTCGAGGCCGCTCATGTACTTCGTGCGCATTCAGGATATCAAAACAAAAGTGGGAGAAAATAGGATTTGAGAGATTCGGAGTGGTTCGTTGGGCGGTTGTAGCGTTTATAGGATGCTCGTCCTCTCTCTAATCTTCTTCTTGGGGGGGCGGGGGGAGTATGTTCCTTTAAGAAGATACCTCCTGCCGAGGCTGCAGTCTCCGCAAAACGACCTTGTCCTTGCGCCCAAACCATCCCAATACGAGAACCAGAGGCGCCGCAGCCACGGCGAGGACGGCCTGGAAGATAAGAAAGTTCTTCATATTCTTGGGAGGGTCGCCGTCGCTGCCAGCGGTCAAAGGATCGCCGACAATAACAAAGATGGCGCCAAAGAACTGGCCTCCGGCCCAGGCTGCGGTGGACGTGACCTCAGGGCTGATGGGATGGCTCAGGTCGGCCAGGAACTCGACGGCAATGGGCACCAGGGCAAAGCAGCCCGCTCCAATGATGGCCAGAATGACGTACGGGCCCGCAAGGCTCCTGGTCTCGGGCATCCATATGAAGACGACGAAGCACGCTGCGACAATGGGAATGATGACCTTGATGGCGAGCAGGAAGTGCTTGGTGCGGTCGAGGATGGGAGACGTGATGGCGGCGGTGACGAGGCCGACGACGATGAGCACGGCGCCGCCGATGCCAGCCTGGTCGTCGGTAAAGCCGTACGGGAGGAGGATTTGGTTGAGGAGAGTGGAGACGGCGTTGAAGAGGCCGACGTAGATGGAAAAAGTTCCGAAGACGAGCCACAGCTCGAGAGATCGGACGGCTGTTCGGATGGAAGGGAGCAGTGGCAGCTTGGGCGTTTCTGAGGAGGGGCCAACGGGGGTGGGCGGTTGAGAGGGGACGAAGAAGGCCGTTATTGAGCAGGCAGTCGACTAGGTCAACGTTAGCAAAGCCTGTACCTTTGCGGTAATGGATAGGCAGGGCAGAATCAATAGCGTAGGCTAGTATTTGGGGCATTCCTTACGATAATCGCGACGTAGAGCACCATGTTCGGGACGTCGTCGGGCGAGTTCACCCACAGCGGGTTGATGAGCTGTCCGAGAGCCGCGCCGAGCGGATTCGCCAAGCTGGCCAGAGCAGTTGCAGCAACGCGGCCTCGGTCAGTGAACCACAGGTCCGAGTACTTGGCTGGTGTGGCCAGGACAAACGGCTGGGCGAAGCCAATCAAGATTTCGCCAACCATGGCACAAGCGTAGATGCCACCAGACGACTTTGTCGAGCCGGCGTAGCGAATCCAGTTGCCGACGACAAGCAGCAGGGCGGCGCACATGAAGCCCAACTTAAAGCCGCGGTTGACAATCCAGATGGACAGGGGAAAGATGGCAACGAAGGAGAGGAAGAAGGCGGTGCTGATCCAGTTGATAGCCGAGGAGCTGACGTTGTAGTAGGCCGCAGAGTCGTCGACGACGGGGGCGTAGGTGAGCCACTGGCGGACGGTGTTAGCAGTTGAAGTTGCCTGGGAGATCTATGGCGATGATGGCCTCAAGAAGAGGCTCGAGAGCCTCTCGACAACCAGACATCTGTCTCAACTTACTCCCCAAGACACCATGATGTTCATGAGCGTCAGCTGGATGAGGCCGAACCAGCGCCGCTTATACGTGCGGTACACGGTCGACGAGCCGTTTTCGAGATCGCCATTCCGCTCGTCGCCGCTGATGGCATCGCGCTCCTGAAGGCTAAACTCCTGCGACGAATCTTTCTTGGAGCGCCAGAAGCGAAGGGCCTCGGTGCTGCTGGCGGAGTTGGAGAATTTGTGGAAGACGCCGCTGCGAGGCGTCTCGACGGTTTGGTCCATGGTCGTTCTAATGCCCTGGCTCGAGTCGTTTGCTGCGCTTGCCATTGTAGGTGTGAGATCTGTGAAGTTTTTTTTCTTCTCCCGTTTTGGAAAGCAAACATGAGATTTGCCTCCCGAGGGTTGACGGCAATCTGGTGGACTGCAGCAAGTGTCGGACAGCTGGTTTTCGCAGCTTGGGAGTTCTCCAAGCCAGTCGCCAACCCATTCACTCACTGCCAGGTCTCGTTCACCTCGAAGTTAGAAGAAAGTCAAGCATCCACCGCCTCAAGGTTATCTGAGACGTCTGTTGTTGGCCTCATATAATCCGCCGTTGCCGTCGATCCACCCTCGATGTCGTTATTCTCTGCCCAAACCACAGCCGTTGGTGACGGACAAGTTGGCGGCTCGAGTCTGGCCAGCAGAGGTACGAAATGCGAGCTGGTGACCGGCTTACCATGACAATGGCACTGGCCGAGGAGGAGCAGCGTAGCTCATGCGTAAAGGGAGCCTGATCGATCCGAGGGCAGAAACGAGCTGAAGAGATACGGCGTATGTGTAGGAGATAAGGTATGCGTCCAAGGCACTTGTATGTACGACGGAGTCCGGGCATGAGGGGAAGCAGATGGAAGCTCGGACTGCTGCCAACCGGGGCTATGGCCTTCAACTGGAATTCCACCAGCAGCTGGCAGCCTTTTTGGCTACAGGCGGTTGCAGTCGCTAAAACCGAAGCACGAATCACCGTCCAGCAGGTGCTGGGCGACATTCCACGACGGGCTTAGCGGCTTCGGCATGGCTTGCATGGCGCTGGGGAATCCATTTTTCCATGTACACCCCACAAGCATCTTAAACGTTAAATAAGTACAAGCCCCGCATAGGTCTGTTTAATTTGCTGTTTTTGCAGAAGTTAAGATATAAGCGTTTACTAGTAAATTACTATAGGAAATAATATATTTTAACTATTTAATAATCTATAGCATAGCTATTATAGTTAATGCACTGTTATAGCTAATCTAGCATGCCTTAAGCTAGGTCTTTTAGTAATAACTGCAGCACTATATCTTAAGCAGCCTATATAGCTGCATAAAGCTATGCAAGTGTAAGGGTATTTATATTATAATTCTAATTAATCTAGGTCTTTATCTAAGACTATATATTCTCTATAAAGTTAAGGTCTAGGCTATAAGCAGCCTATATAATAGCCTTAATTTTAAAGGCCTTAAGCTACTCTTAGGTTAATTAGGCTATATATGCTAAAGCGTCATTATATATAAAGCCTATACTTTATAGCATTATATAAAGGAAGTCCTTAATTAATAGCAGCACCTTCTCTTAATACTAGTTAGCTAATATTCCTTAGCCTTTCTCTTAAAAGTAAGTTAGGCCTTTATATAGCCTATAAACTAACCTTTAAAATATCTAGCCCTAGCTGTAATAATAAATAAGGTTAAAAGTAGCTTTATTTTTAATCTTATAAACTGTAATTTACTTAGGCCTGGTTATGCTATTAATCGCCTAGGTCTTATTAAAAAAGCAGATTAAGACTTATAGCTAGTCCTTTAGGTTAGGCTATAGCTCTAGGAGTTAGCAGTATATTTAAACACAAGCAGAAGGGTCTTTCTTTATAAAGGCATTAAGACTATAAAGCTAGTTTATAAATAACTTACAGCCTTTACTAAAAGGCCTCTTTTGTAGTATTATAAAGCCTTTTACAGTAAGCTGCACTTAACAAGGCGTTATATTTAGCAGCTTAGCGATCTTTATAATTATATAGCTTATATAGTCTTATAAGGTCTATATAGTAACCTTATTATTATAGTTAAGTAGCATAGCCTATTTAGCATAGTTTACGGTTATTAGCTGCAGTAGCTGCTTTAGGCTTTAACTATAATAGCGACCTAGATTATAACTGCAGTCTTAATAAGGGCTTTAACTTTAACTTTAACTTTAGCTTTAGTCTTAATTACATTAGCTAAGGCTCTTAAAGTTAAGAGGGCTTTATAATAAAGGGCTTTAGTAAGGCTGCCTTAGGTATAGTAACTACAGGGGCTTATATTTAGGGCTTTAAGGTAGAAAACGCTAAGTTATTAAGCTTATGCTAACGCTTGCTGTTATAAGGCTTTAGTTATTATATTTAAATAGAATTAGGCTAGAAGATAAGCCTCTAACTCTTTAGGCCGGCGGCGTTAATAGCCCTAGTATAAGGCTTTATAACTGCTAATAGCAGTTAGGATCCTTATAAACTTTAAAAAATGCTATTGCAATAGCTATTTAATAGTGTAAAATAGCTTTAACTTACCTTCCTACCTCTTTAAGTAGACTTTATACTTAATATCTATAATAATGTTTTTATTATTATAGTAAAAAATAATACTATTAGGTTCCTTTATATAGAAAAATATATAGAAAGGTATAAGGCCCTATCACTAATTAAAAATCAGGTCGGTGACGACTTAGTGGCGATTTTATGGCAAAAGTACTGATTTAACGTTTAAGATGCTTGTGGGGTGTAACCTAAGGCATCCTTAGCGACTGGGGGCGTTGAGAGTTAATATAGAAGCTTCTTCTTCCTGCAGCTTCTTCGTGTCAGCATCGTCAGTTGAAGAAACACCACAGGATTATCACGGGTGAAGACAGATCCAGAATATGGTTGGATGCTTAGCAGCTACTCTGACGACGGACTCGATTCTATCCTGGCACGCAAATACACAACTGCTCGCTCACCCACAGCCCTTCGCTTGACGCACTGCGAGAACATGCGAGAGACCCAAGCCATGCACGCGAGCAAGCGAATACTGGGGGAATCCCGGAACCGGAGACCCGACGAGCAGCCGAATCCCGCGTCTACCGTTTCTTTTGCTGGCTAATGTCTTCGTACTGGCTTTGCTTGTCGAGTACACGTTACCGCCGCAGCAACAAGCACTGCACAAGTCCAACGGCTCGCAAGAATCCCAGGTGAGCTGTCGTGGAGCCATCGCAGTCGCTGTGCCCCATCCATCCCGTTGGATAGTATTCGATCTGTGACATCGACAAGCTAACCTGCCTCGATTGCTCCATCTGCTGGGCACGGACCGTCCAGCTGCGACCTCGAAGCCCCTCGTCCCGCTAGCAATCGTGACGCTACGGAGCCTGGGATCGTGAACGGACACCAAAAAACGGCTAATTTCCACCTCGACGTTGCTTTTCAGCTGTTGGGCCCTGGGATTCGCCAGTGCCGGCAACGCCAATCACAGTTGCCACAGGCCCGCAGGCCGAGGGTCAAGGGTCAGGGTGCTTCCAGTCATACCTTACAGTAGCTACGAGAGTGTACATGTACGACCTCCTGCCGGCTCCCTGCCGCAAAGGAGTCGTGCTGCTGCGGCTCGCAGCACCTGGATGAAACGCGTGTCCTTCTAGCCGCACAACTGGAAACATTCTGGTGCCGTATCGAGCGTCCAGGTGCGTGTGGAGAAGCGGTGATGGCACCAAAGTCGGCCCTGGCGCCTCCGTGGAGGGTTGCAGCTTGTCGGGGCGACGTTTGGTTCCAACAGCATCACAGGATAAGAGGAAAACTCGAGTTTGATTTGCTTACATGTGCATCCCACGTATCAGCGCGCCCAGGAGCGATCGACAGTCGGCCACAGCCCCAGTGTGCCACCGACCGGTCGGGATTTATCGAATCATTGGTCCAGCCGCTGATTGCAAGGGACGGTATCTGAGATTTGCCAATGCAAGGGCACGGGGCGACTCGACTGCAAACTGCGCTGCAATATGGTGCTGTGCAATAGTTTTCTCTTGGCAAGGAATTATCATGATCCTTTCTTCTGAACTGAGGAGAGTTGCCATCAACAACCATGAGCGTGTTTTGTTCAAGCGATGAGAATGTAACGCCACGCTCTCACTCTTGACTTGCGACGTGTTCTGACTCTACAGGTACTCTCTCTAAAAAGTCCTGCCTGTACTACCTACCGGCGACCAGTCACGAGGCTCCAAAGGTAGCATGCAGAATCGAGCTTGACGCTGCTGCCTTATCCTGCCAATTTACCAACATCAAAATACCCAGTCCAGAAGGCTCTTATGATCTCTGCCATCAACAGTGCGCTGCTGAAGACGAGGACTCCTCTCCCCAGGCGTTGCGTCGTGAACGAATTCATTCGCATCATCAAGCCTGACGTCGGGCCACGACTTTATTCCAGACCAGGTGACACAAGCCGATAAGCCCATACGGATAGGATGCAATTTGTCTCAGCTCTGTACAGCATCAAGTACTGCTCGTCAAGAGAGGACGTGTCTCCAGAATGATGGCAGCTACAAGCCTTACACATGATCCTGCGCCATTACGTCGATGCCAGCTATCACAGCATCTTCTGCTATCTAGGGGGCAAAGTGTCACTCTTCGGACGCGTTCTTGCTTGTATGACGAGGCCAATCTCAGAGAATCTCAACCATCGTTATGATCGTCTTCGGGACTCCCTCCCAGAAGGTTCAAGTCTCATAGGGAAAACTGTACAGGATCGTGTTCTAACCTAGCAAGCTCTTCCAGAAAGCAGCAGGCATATTTGGTGGCGATGGAGCTTCATAATAGACTGACTACGACTAATTTCATTGCTCTAAGCTTAGTCCTCTGTGTCTCGTTAACTGAGACATTCATCAATGAGGGAGTCATATGTGGAAGCTGGCAAGCAATCCATGGCCGGGTTGTTCTTGCCCGTGATAAAGGTGAACCATGGCTCTTCTCGTGCCCTTTTCATGTGCTATGTGGTTTCTTTCCTTTCTGCTCGCTCCCGCCTGATGCTCGACGCATCACCATATACCAGATATTCTCTCTCTTTGAATGTCTCCCGGTCTTTTCATTTATCTCTCAGTATTCATAATACGCCGACATGGACGAACAGAAGGAAAGCTCGCACGACAAAGCCGAGGTCGACAACTCCCTGGAGTTGGCAACCAGCGAAAGCACGAACGAGACAATCGAGGTGGTCCATATTAACCCGCAAGCCGTCGCCCGTGATATCGGGCCCTTCCAGATCATCGCCCTCGGCTTCAACATCCCCAACAGTTGGGCGGGCGTGGCCACCGCGTTCTCAGCCGCGCTCACTGCTGGAGGCCCCGTGTCGCTGATATACGGCAACTTTGTCAGTCTCGCAATGTACGGATCTGCGGCCGTCACGCTGGCCGAGCTGGCGAGCGTCTACCCAACAGCGGGTGGACAGTACCATTTCGCAAGCATCATGGCACCTAAGAGGTTCAACCGGTCCATTTCCTACGTGTGCGGCATGTTGGCGACGGTCTCGTGGGTGATTTGCTCTGCAAGCGTGGCGAGCATCACGAGCTTGTGTATTGCCTCGATTGCGGATTTTTATGGCGGGTATAAGGCGAGCAACTGGCAATTGTTTCTCATTTCGCAGGGGTTGAATGTTTTTGCTCTGGGATATAATTTGTTCTTGATGAAGAAGACGAGGTGGATTCATAATGCGGCTTGTGAGTTACGGCTTGCTTGGGAGACACGGGCCAAACAGGTGTGCTAACAATAGGGGAACAGTCATCTTGACGCTCTCAGCGTTTCTCGTCATATGCATTGTTTGCCTTGTTCGAGGCGACAAGCAGTCTTCGACTTGGGTTTGGACCAACTTTGAGTCGTCTTCAGGGTGGCCGCCTGCGGTATCCTTCTTCATCGGTCTCTCCACCCATGCGTACATGTTCGGGGGTCTCGACTCTGCGCTCCATCTTGCAGAAGAGACCCTGGACGCCTCCAAGACGGTGCCCAAGGCCCTCATGTCGACGATTGGCATTGGCTTCTTCTCTGGCTTTGTCTTTTCTGTGGCCATGACTTACTGCATTCCCAGCTTGGACATCTTTGCCAACGACCCGTAAGAGTTTCTCTTCTTCTCCTTCTCTTCTACAAAATGTGAATAAGGCTGAAGTATTGACTGAATGCTTCGACAGCGTGCCTATTTACAAGCTTTGGAGAATAGCTAGCAAATCCGACACTGCTGCCACAGTATTTCTCGTCATCGGCATCGTCATCTTCACATTCATCCTCGTTGCCACTCAACAAACCACCTCTCGTCTGCTCTGGGCCCTGGCACGAGATCAGGGCTTAGTCTTCTCCACTCACTTTGCCAAATTATCCCCCAAGCTGGGCGACATCCCCGTTGCGGCACTCCTTCTGGATGCAGGTCTGATAGCCCTGTGCGGGTGCATAAGCCTGGGCTCGACGGCGGCGTTCAATGCGCTGGTTGGCGTCTTTTCCATGATGCAGATGACATCGTTTGCGATTCCGGCTGCGTTGCTGTTGTATCGCAGAAGGGATAAGAAAGTGCTTCCCCGAAAGAGAGCGTTCAGGGTGCCCGAGATGGTGGGCTGGGCTTGCAACATTGGGACGGTTGTCGCCGCTGTCATTGAGACTCTGTTCTTCACGTTTCCGACGGTTCTACCAGTGACGGGGAGTAATATGAGTAAGTTGACAAACCTGTTGCCACGCATGAAGTGGTGTTGTTTCAGTATATATGTGAGAAGAACAAGATGTGCTGACTTTGCTTTTCCCTGGTAGACTATGCTGTAGTTGTTCTGGCAGTAGTTGCGATTGTCATGATCCTGAACTGGGTCTTCTCTGCAAGGAAACGCTATCAAGGTCCTAGAATTGGGGTTGCTTTGTAGGTTAACCGTGTAGTTTTTCCAATTGGCAACATGGCTTCTTGGCAGTATTCACTCACTTTAATATATATCATCTTTGCCATTCAGAATACATTTCTTTCGTTCTTTCAACATGTTTGATAACAGCCTCTGTCAGATATGGACGAACGATCGGAGAGAACGGAGCAGCCATAACATTACGATGATGTAGATGTTCAGCATGCATTCAATGATCTTGATTGTCGTCAACGACTCGCCAAGCATCTCTGCTCCCAGGATTCTGGTGGAGAACTCGACAGTCTCCTAGGCTGCAGCCAAGCAATGAAGTCAGAGACAGAAGCCAGCCACTGGACACGTCGTGCCTCGCGTTCAACCTTGGTTAGCTCAGTCTCGGGAATAAAGCGATTCCCAAGCTCTCATGGCGGTTCCGTAAGGCTGCCCGCGGCAGGCCTAACTCGCGCTTTTCGAAACAACAACACGCGGTTTTCTCACATTTGCGAGGCGGAGCGTACCTATTTAATGCAGATCGGCGCTTAAGGGTCCCCCGCGTGGTCATATCTGGCACAGCCTCGGCATCCTTCAGACCACTCATGCATCTCTGGGCTGATTTACCTATGGCTGTGATTCTCTTCGGTTGGAATGGGTGACACTTTACATGAAAGATTTCGTAGAATTTATAAAAGAAGATCTCGACTTCGTCGCAGTTGATCATGATCATTGCAGACTGCTGATCGACTATAACCACGCCCCCTAACAATACAATACTAATTCCTACTAAAGCACCATCATGGATGCTGTAGGTCTTGCACTCAGTATCGCGACCCTGTACACGACGTGTCGTGACGGTTACAACTTCTTCACCACCGTGAAAGCAGCAGAGACGGAGTCTTCAGCTCACCTACGCGAACTGGAAATCCAGCAGTCCATTCTCAAAGCATGGGGCTTCCACTGGGAGATTCAAAGTGAATCCGGCGGCGAGCCAGAACACTCCGATCCCAACAGGCGAAAACGGACCAAACTTCACCAGTACCTCTTGAGCAACCGATTCAAGGCCGAGGGCGTCTTCAAGACACTTTCTGCTCTTGCCGATACACTCTCCGACCAGGAGAGGCTCACCAAACGCTATGGTATCCAGTTTCGACCTGCTCAGGCCATCCAAAATGGATCGGAGTCGACCAGCAACGTCCAGCTGGCCATCACTGGCACTACGATTGAGGATGTCAAGCCGGTGATCAACGAAGTCAGGAATCGCCTCTCCGTGCTCAACAAGTTCAAATGGGCCTTGAAAGACAAGGACAACTTCAAGAAACTTATCGCCGACTTGCGATCTCACAGCGAATCGCTCTATCGTCTTTGCCCGGAGAATGCGTTCGAGTCAATGAACATCTACCTCACCATGGAATGCTTGGCCAAGCAGGAGTCGCCAGCAGGTCTGAAGTGGACTTCAAGCCTCGCAATCCGGCAAGCGAAACTCGACGAGGAGTCTTCGGTGCGGGAAGGCTACGAATTGTTGGCTTCGACGGCTACTCTGAAAGCGTCGGTTAATGAAAACAGAGACAAGCAGGAGGGCTTTGTCATGGATCTTACCGCCGTCGACAAGAAGCAAAGCGAGATGTGGTATTTAGGAAAGGGCCTTGCCCTGTTCGAGGAGCAAGTCGTTTACGTGGAAATGCGAGACTACCGCGGACCGCCACTCGAACTCACTGCAGAGCAAAAGCAGCAAGTGAAGCGCCGGAAGCGAGCGCGCTTCTTGCGATCGTCGTCAATGAAGGGCATGAGGAGGCGCCCCTACGACTGGCATGATATGGATCAGATCGAAGATGACAGCAGCCTCGACGATAGCGAAGAAGATGCCGAACCAATCGAGCTTGTCAGACCAGCCGATGCCCAGCTTCGCGCTGTCATCAAGAACTTCTACAACACCTTTCGCGGCGCGAACATGATGGCGAGCGTCTATGGATTGGACATTGCCGGCATGATCGACCATACCGAAGGCGAGCACAAGGGGCATTGCAGCATTCTCTACAAGCTCCCCGGCAGGATTGGCGTCCAGAGTCGTGAGCGGCCTGCGGAGAACCTCAAGCTTCGCGCACCTGTGACGCTGCAGTCGCTGCTTGGGATCGAGCAGAAACAAGGCATTCGATCTACGCTCGGTTCGCGATTCGAGCTGGCCAGGAAGCTTGTGCGTGCCGTTTGCCTGCTTCACTCCAGTGGCTGGCTGCACAAGAACATACGCGCCGAGTCAGTCATGTTCTTTCCCGAGCATGTCAGTGCGCTTCAGGAGGATCAATACGAGGTCAAGATCGAGATCGACGTCTCAAAGCCTGTTCTCATGGGCTACATCTTTTCACGGCCGGACGATATCATCATCCGAACGAATGCACCTTCTGCACAACAAAGAGAAGACAAGTTTCTTACTAACATGCTTTCCTTCCAGCCTTCTGAACAATGGGTTTGCACAACTGTCAGGACATGGGACGACCAGATCAACGAGAAAGCAAGGTTGAAACGTAGGAGGGAACCACCTCGAACAGGTAGCATATATGGTCGCGATATGCCAGTCAGCTCGGCCGTGACCGAGCGTGCGAAAGAGACAAATATCAGTGGCTTTACGCTTGACTATTATCAGCATCCTGCGAAGCACGCGGATCCGAAGCGTACGTATCGTCACGCATATGATGTGTACTCGCTTGGTATACTTCTACTCGAAGTCGGGCTCTGGGAGAAATTGAAGAACTATGAAGACTTGCGCACGGAATTTGATGACGAGCCTGATTACGACGAGGAGGATCATTATGAGCGAAGGCGATGGATTTGCCGAAAATATCTTGATCGTCTGAGATGGGCGTGCGGAGACACGTATGCGGATGTTGTGCTCAGCTGCCTCATGATTGATAGTAGTGATGACGAAGTTGGCAAGGCAAGCGAGAGGGAGCTTTGTGCTAGGATTGTAGCCGACCTGGAGGGCTGTCGGGCTTAGAAATTTACATATATACAGAAAGACCTACTAGATCTCGACCTTGATATTGTCTTGATAAGTTTCTGATTTCTAACCGGTGATATGATCAAGTCAGCAGCAATGTTTGGCTGTGTGGTGCAAAGTGAAGAAAGACAGACGCAGCCTGTTACTTCCCCAAGGCACTATCACCGCAACAAAATCACTGCCAAACCGTTCCAGGGATTCACTTGAACCGCATTTCAGTGGAAATATCTTTTGAAGTTCTCTCCATACTCTCGATCAACAGTAGTACTCTTCATGCCTAAGGTACTGACATAGGAAGTGGTCGAAATTCAAGACCCCTGGAGTATATGTGGGCCCTCTGCGTTTTTACCAGAAACGGATGGGACCCTTATTGATGACTAATCCAGGCTGAACCGGAAAATTTTTCCCTTGCCAGTATAAAATCCACCACCATCCGCCTCGCTTTGTCTTCCTCTTCTTTTTCTTCTTTTTTTTTTCTTCGTGCGGCTGGCATGACCTGAAAATTATACCCGTGTTGCTCGAGTCCTCTTATCAGTGGATAATTTCGCAGCGTCAGTTGTGCCACAGAGAAATCATAATTGCAGACCGGCCTTCTTCATCCGTTCTGAGTCCCGTGGTTATCGACGTGGGATTCGTGGATGGAAGGCTGGACATTTCTTCGTTCTCTCTTTTTGCATTGTGACTGTGACTTGCATGCATGTAGCAACTGAGGAGTACTGCTTGGCAGTTGACGAGCTCCGGACTCGTGTATGGAGATGGCGGTTTGGAATCCGAACCAGAGCCTTTGGAGGTCGGACATGTGATTTGCTGAGTGTCGTCAAATGCTTCTGTACTACAGCCCTCCATCAACCGATTTCGATCTCGGTACTTTCGTAATAAGAGCTGCCAAGCCGCGGATCAGTCAGTCTCTACAAGCAGTGACCGCAAATGTGGTCAGCCAAGCGCCGTAGTATTCGTCAAAGCATTGGTCCTCGCGAAGTACAGCTCTCTTTGGCGAACTAGCATGGTCATGACAGTTCTTCTACGAACAATACTTTGCTAAGATTGTGAAGTCATGACTGCTCGAGTATAGGTATTACACTGTTCGAGGTTACCCTCCAGGCATGCTCCTTTCGCCATAAAATAGAACTGAACCAGAGTACCTCCATGTAGTAGATATCACCGCGAAATGAGTTCAGAGTAACATATGAACGGTTTTCGAGTGTTTTGCCACGACGATAGTGTCTTAGCAGAAAGCAATGTCTTGCCTATCTAAATTCTAAAAGGATAAGGCAAGGACATATACCTACTTCAGCATCTATCTTACTTATCTCTCTTTAGTGGAAGGTATCAGCTTCTATCGATATATTGTTCTTTCATGGCGTGATCGATGACTGCTTCCAATGACTCCTGAGAGTAGCAGGAGGTATATAACGACAGACCACCTCACCTAGATAAAAAGGGCAATGCCTACCCAGCTGATCGCTAAAGGAACCCCGATGACTTCCACGGCACCCAGTCTCCTAGCTCAGCCGGAGGCTCTTCAAATTCCATCGTCACAATATCTCTCCCCGCGGTTCCTATCACCACCTCCGATGCAACTGCAGAAAAACTGAGGACCCCCCTTGGACGAAAATCCACTGGTAGCCAGATCATGCCCTTCCCATTCCACCACACCCAGTCAACGGCGAATTCGTTTTCCAATGAGTCAATGTAATATCCAAAACCGGGAAAGTCATATGCAGGCGCAAAGTGTATTGAGGAAGGGTCTTCGCTATTCGATCGGCATATGCTGTAACACCCGGTCTCTGTAGCTAGACATAGATTCGCATGATGAAAGTAGAATCGAACTCGCCCAGACGTCTCAAAGATAGATACCAATTCTCCCGTCTCTATTTTCCAGACAGTGACGGCGGTACTCTCGCCGTGTTGATGCGCTACGGCCAAAAGGTCTCCGCCTGGCAAGAAAGCCAGACCACACTGGCTATCAATCCACTTTCTCAGGGGTATTTGGGCTACTGGACGTAAATCAATGTCCCACACTTCGATTTGGTGAAATCGCTCCTCAAATTGACTTGCAGAATAGATACATTCCAGAGCTATAAGCCTGGAATCTTTGGAGATGGCCGGCACACCTTGCCAAAGCCATCGTGGTATCCCTTCTGCATTCTCGGTAGGCAAACATCGAGATCGTTTGACTCCGGGAAGTCGTCGATCTTTGTGCCTGTGCCAAACGTTGATGTTGCCTCCGTCAGAGTCATAAACAACATAGTCCCGATCGTCCGACAATGCCATCGATCCGAATCTGCAGTTGTCGGGAAGGTCATCTGGCGGATTGTCAACATGAATGCTGCACATATCTGTCGCCCAAACCTTGACTGTCCCATCCATAGACGCTGTTGCTAAAAGTTTGCCATCTGCTGAGAACGCCATCGACAGAAAGCCGCCAGTGTGGCCACTATACGACCCTATCTTGGATTTTTCAACAAGGCTCCAGACCTCGACGCTACCGTCTCCAAAACCCAAGGCCATAAGGGTGGAATCGTCTGAAAAGACAGCTGAGTAGAGCTGATTTTCATATTGATGGATAATGATGGGCTCTGCGCCCGACGGGAGATGCCAGACTTGGAGACCTTTCCCGGCCGAGACTAGGTACAGAAAATCTTTCGAGATTTCCGTTACGTCTTCAAAGGGCGAAGTCTGTATATCCAGCTCCCAAACTAGCTCGCCTGTGGCTATGTTGGAGACTTGTATCTCTTTCCGGTCTTCTGTACCTACGCGCTCATAATTGCGTGTAGCGACGAGCTTAAAATCTCGGGATATTGCGAATGTATCACGAGGCCATCCACAAGGGATGTTGCGGACCAACTGCTCGGTCGAGAGATCCCAGATGAGGAATTCACCGTCAACTGTCGTCGCCAAAAACTGATCATCGGTCGAGAAAAGGGGTTTGGCCACCAGCTCTCTGGGGCACTCCCACTCATGAATCAGGTTTCCAGACTCTATATCCCACACAATGGTCTTTCTCTCATTCGAGGCTGCCAATAGTTTGCGGTTCCAAGAGAATGTTGAAGGATTATGTTCGACAGAGCTGAATACCCAGTCGCGAATCAAGTCACCAGTGGCTATGTCCCAGCTTCTTGCTCGTCCATCATAAAACGAGGCAGTTAAACGTAAGGAGTCGCTTGAGAAAGCCACAGTTTCGATTCCAGAAGCGTACAGGGTGTTTAGACAAGGACTCCAGTAGTCGTCAACCTTGGGTAAGGTTTTTATCCACGATAGTGTGTCCTTGAAGTGAAGCCGCACCTGACTTTGGGTCGGACTGAAGATAAGGGCAGAGACATAGGTTTGGAGAGGAGCCGTCTCCAAAATAAACCTATTGTGAAGTATGAAACGAGCGGCATCCTGAAAGAACTCAAAGGAGTCGTGGAACTTCAGGCGGTGCTAATATTATTAATGACATCGTTCATCAGTTACGCAGGTGGCAGGGTAGAAACGGGAGGCAGCTTACCGAAACATTCTTGACCAGGTTCTGCAGGGATACAACTCCAGCTTGGATATTTCGCAGAAGGCTCAGAACTTCAATCCAATGAAGGAGATGTGTCTTGACAAATTTCAAAACTTTATCCACGCCTCCCAGTATGTCATCATCGATGATTGAATGGGCACCGAAAAAGCCATCGCAGAAGTGTCGAAGCCAGGAAATGCAGCAATACTGAATATCTGCGAGAGGATCTGGCTGCGGTGTGGAAACCTCATGCGCCTTGACACCAGGATAGGGAAGAGAGTAAATGTTTGGCCGCAGTCTTCCGGGTTTCTCCAAAGCATCTATTGAGCGCCAGAATAAATCTCGGTGGACAGCTTCAGTCCCCTGTTGAAATATGCGGTCGCGACCGTCCTCAACCAGGTAGTCTTTCGCCGACTGATGAATGAAATAGACAACGTTGTCGCGAACAGTCAGAAAGGAGCCGCACGTCTTGATCAGGGTTTTCAAAGGTTCAGAGCGCGCCAGTCGATCTTTCAATGCAGCCATAATGGGCAGCGTCTCCAGACTCAGGGGCTGATATGCCGTTGCCATTACGGCGAGGAGGTTGCGGCAACGATGCTGATCGTTGCGAGTCAGTTGATCGATTTGGTCCACCATTCTGTCGTATAGGGCGATTAACCCACTGGGTATCTCTTTCAAAAGCTCCAATATCTCGGCGTCTTCGTCGTATGTGCGCAGCTCTTCGATTTCCTTGAACACGAGTGCAGCCCATAGGAAAGTTCCACTCGACTTTTCAATAATAGCCTGATGTAATTCCGTGCGGAGAGCTTCGTTATCTTGGATGAGATTGAGCTGCTGTATTCTCGCACGAACATATGCATCAACGCTGTCCGTAACGTATCTATCATTGCTTTCGAGGTCGATAACCACAGCAGTTTGGCACTTGAGTAGCTTGGCTTCAATATCAGGAAAATTTCGGCTCGACAGGACCCATTTGACTTGAGGCGCCTCTGAAGCGCTTTCGACAACGAGGTCCAGGAGATGACTGCGGCCGGAATCACATTCATCTAAGGCATCAAGTACTAGGCAAGCACTCTCCAAGGCCGGATCCTGTAGCATCCTCCGGAATATACCGGATAACGTTACCCAGGCATTGACTCCATCGAAGAGGCTTCTGCTTCCGACGTTCTTGTATTCCTCCTGTAGATGGCTGATGAGGGATGGCCTTTGTATCGCCAGTAGATAAATCAAGCCCCGTAAGACCGCAGGGGCATTATTGAAGCTCGGATCAGTGCCCTGGCAAAAGAAGTATGATACCAGCTCTGGATAAGGCGTCATATTCTCCAATTCTTCGGAGAGGCCGCAGATTATCATGGTCTTTCCTTTACCAGGATCCCCTTTGATCCAAAGCAGGTTGGTCTGCTTCTCTCTGTGCCATTGTTGGAACGTGGCACTCTTCAGAACCCAGTTGAACGAGTCCGGTAAAAGTCCCCCTTTTGCATCCAGGAGGCGCTTCCTATCGTTCCGTGGATTGGTGATGTACAAATCTCTCAAACAGTCTCGGTCTTGCTGCTCTAAATCTTTGACTTGCAATGCAACAAGATTCTCGAGACAATCTTTGATTTGACGGCTTAGACTGGTATTCTCCAGGCTCGTGTATGCGGCATAGTCGTTTTGGAAACCCAGTTCGAGATCTCGGATCTCTTTTAGACTCTCTTCCCAATCGTCGACCATGGCAAGTTCGCGGAACAACTGTAGCCCGCGGTTGCGGTAGTATGAGCAGATTGACTTGACCTGGTAGAGTATAATCTTCTTGTAGAGCTCTCCAAGTCGCAAAATCAAGACGTTTCGAATATCAGGCGTGATACTCGGTTTGGAGGACTCAGCTCGATTGAACAGGTCATTCGACAAGCTCCAATACCACTCCATCCTCTTCGTAGTATAAGATATACCCTCACTGTTTCTTTGGTGTTGCTTCAGTGGGTTTTGCAGTATCTTGTCCGCAAAAGTCAGTTTATATGCAGACTCGGCTGAATGACCTCCGGGCGACTTACATCTAAAGACATGGTCACAAGGGACCATGGAAGAGCCGCCTGTGGTGCGGCTTGGACTGCTGAAGTTATGATGTATCTCATGGAGTTTACGACTTTCATCCCCTCTCCCATGCTCTCTTTGATTCTGGTCTCTGTTTGCAACTTCTTTTGGCCCGCTTCGATGACCAGCAGCAGTTGGGCCCGTCGTTCATCTCCAGTGGGTTTGATGCTATTGACATCGATCCCCCCTTGAGAGGGCTGAAAGGCAGGGTCGTGGAGTTTGTTTGATAGGATGACTTCGTACATTTGCAATAGCTTTGTTTCTTCGGTTTTCAGTTGGTCGTAGGCCTCATCCCAGAGCTCCTGCGGAGAGGTAGGAGAAGTAGCCTCCTTTTTCTCGTCGTCCTTTGGATCATCTGGATCATTCTTCGGTCTGGCCGTAATGATTGAGGTCTCACTTGAGGGCGCCGGAACACTGCCTCCAGGCGTAGAGAGCCATGATTCTCCGCCCACAGAACGCCTTGAGAACTCGTCTGGAGGCGAGACCGCCGGAACGTTGATGCCAGGCGGAGACAGCTGCGAATCCCTGCTCTCAGAACGCCGTGACGATTCATGTGAAGGCGAGACTGCCGGAACACTATTGTCAGGTGTAGAAGACTGTGATCCACCGCTCACTCTGAACCAAGAAAGCTTGTCAAGAGTCCGGCTGCTCTCCCTGCTTCCGCCGCCTGGCCTCTTCGCCTGACCTTTTTCTTTGCCGCTTTTGGATTGAAGGCCCTTGAAGAATGCAGAAATAGACCTTCGAGGCATTGCTATTGCCGTCGCGATTTAGCCGCGACTATTGTCACGATGAATTGGAAAGTTGGACAGATTCTGTTCTCACGTCTTCGGATCCTCCTTGTCCAAGACATATTGATGCCTTGCGGGGAGGCGCAATCGATTGTTGCTCGGCGCCTAATGTAACACGGAATTTGCCTCGCTGTTTCTGTGATGCTGATTGGGGGACGGGGGAGAGGACAGGGGGTGGACAGGGGGTCGCTGGCGGTTGGCTGAACATCGGCGACAGCGAATGGGATCTTTCATCAAAATATTGTCGTCTTTATAGAAAACAGAAGTATGCAATAAGGTAAAACGTATATGCCGATAGTAGGAGAAATTTGGAGTCTCCTTCTATATCTTGATTATATGGTGATAGAGATAGCCTTGCTAGGAGCTAGTCCATGATGTGAACAAACTTCCCATTGGCAAGCTCTTCTATTGAAACTGACACAATCGACTCGTCGAGCAAAAACTCTTCTTGACTGGAAACGCGACAGTGTATAAACCACTTGGCGATATAGGCATAGACGGCCACTGGAGTTTGGAACCGACTATGAGCAGCAACCGCAAGACCTGAATTCTCGTATGCAGACTAAAGGAACATTTCAATTCAGCGGCGTCGTTCTTGTAGAAGAGATCGACATGGGTTTTGGCTACGAAATCGCGTTTGGAGGAGGCGCTCCTGCAATCTGTGTCAATAGATCTACGTACGTCCTAGCATCTACGCAACACGTTGTTATCTCAGAATTGATATCCCAAGCCACAAGGACTCTATCAACGAGGGCCAGATTTTACGTCTCTTCTATCACGTTCAACGTTGTCTTCAGCTATGATATCTGTACCCAGGCCAGGAGGCTTGTGTTCGCCGCAAGAGCCCTGGATAGAGTACTCGTCTCAACTCGAATCTCAATGGATGATTGCGGTCAAGATCACTAACCTATCAGTGTTCATATGACAGGAAAGATTTACGTCTTGGTTTGTAATTCATTGATGAAATTGCTTATGAAAGCTCTCGAAGCAAATTCGTGGCAGAAGCGGGTTGCAACTTGACAAATCGATAGATCCGTGTAATTAAGAATACCCGGCAGCCCAGATCGAGTCTCTTGTAGTCAGAGATGCATTTACGAATGATGGAGACGCTATAGCAGTACACGTATAAATTGAAATAGAACACTTCGTGAAGACTTCTTCTCTAAGGAACGCGGATCTATATAGCAACGTTGATAGTTTATACTAGCCCTTTCCTTTCGAGCCCGGTTCCCGAAGAGGCCAATTGCCGGATTCGGCAACTCGCGCGGACCGGCTCTCCGCTACTGCGGACGTCGCGACTATTTCCACTCCTGGTAAGACGCTCTTCAAGCGGGCATGTTCGAATGGTCAAGTGCCTGAATCCATTGTGATTGCGGAGTTGACCGCGGGCGTGCAAGATCTTTGATTTCCCCCCTGATAGCCATCTGAGCCTCAACGACGTGTACATCCATGCGTATGCTGAGAAGTTCCCTGACTTAGGGGGAGTCTCGCACAATCAGACTATTAGAGAACGAGGATCAATGGATAAGTACACAATCATGCCACATCGCCAAGCCCTCCGTTAGATCCAAATCAATGAAACTAGTCGTGACATTTCCCCAGACTACCTCAGATTCGAACAGCGCGAAGTCGGTATACTCATATCTGCATTTTACTATAACTTACCCCAGATTTCTGCTTTCTTGGACTTCTCTCTCCACATCATTTACCATCCCAATTCTCTATATTCCTAATCTTCTCACATATTCCCACGATGGATACTGAAAAGGTGGAAAACGTGAACGAAGTGGATGTGGTTGACTATCAGGAGAAGCAGGCGGGATTTACCTCCGCCGAGCCAGACCTTACAGCGGAGGAGAGGAAGCTTGAGAAACGCTTGCTTCTCAAAGCTGATATCCTGATTGTGGGAATTACTTCCTTGGTGTTTCTTGTCAACCAATGGGTCAGTACTGATTATGCCCCCTTTTCTACAGTCGAAGAGAGAGCTGGATACTAATGCTGGAATTGATATAGGATCGAGGAAACATTGGCAACGCTCGTGTAATGGGACTTCAGAAAGACCTCAATATCAGCAACAGCCAATTCTACGACGCTGTGTCTCTATACTGTGAGATGTTATTCTCAAACCACGCAAAATTCAGAGCGTTTACTGACAACTTCAAGATGTGGGCTATGTCATCTGCATCATCCCAGCCAACCTTTCCATCCGATTCTTCAAAGCCCATCGACAAATTGGCGGCTGCGTCATTATATTTGCCACACTCTCATGCTGCATGGCTGCTGCAAAGAATGCGACTACTATTCTGGCCCTCCGAATTTTGTTCGGTTTTGCATCTACATTCCTTCAAGCCCTTACTTTATATACCAGCCTATGGTACAAGCGCAACGAACTGGCCATTCGAAGCGGTGAGTTCTCCTACTTCTCTACAGAACCTCTCCTGTTCTTCACAGTTGCTTGTCTATACTAACAGAAGTCTCCAGGAGTGTTTTACTCCGCAGCAACAATCGCCGGTGGCTTCAGCGGCCTCATTGCCTATGCCATCCAAAAGAATCTAGATGGTGCTTTGGGACATGCAGCCTGGCAGTGGCTGTTTATCATCCAGGGATGTGCCGGCATTTTTGTCGGAATCTGTGGCTGGCTGTTGCTCCCTCCTCCTCCTGATCAGATCAAGGATTTGAAGCACTGGATCTTTTCCAAAGCTGAACTTGAAGTGGCTATCAAACGCCTCAAGAGTATGGTTCCCCTATACTGAATACAGAAATGGATTGCTAACAGCAAGACAATAGCCTACAACAAGGCCGGTGCTGGATTCGATAAGCGTCAGATGCTGGCTGCCTTCAAAGACCCAAAGGTATACTGTTGTTCGCTCATGAACGCTGGGATTTCTCTCGGTCTGGCCTCGATCAGTGCGTTCCTGCCAAGCTTCATTCAGCAGTTCAACTTTTCCCCTGGTAAGTGATGTCAATCTTCGATTTCACCGTTCCTGACTCTGACCATCTTGATTCGCAAAGCCCGGACCCAGCTCTTCTCCATCATACCGTACGCCTGCGCCTTCGTCACCCTCCTCGTTGTCAACACCGCATCCGACCGCACAAACGTAAAGGGACCCTTCTTGATGCTTTGCTTTGGCTTTTCGATCACGGGCTACATAGTTCTCATGGCGGTGACGAGCGTCAAGGCCAAGATCTTTGGCACTTGTCTCATCACCATGGGTGTTTTCCCCTGTGTCACTCTCCTGGGAGCTTGGACGAGCATCAATGTCGGTGGCTTCACGAAGCGTGCCATGACATGGGGGACTGCGGAAGTCGTGGGCCAGTGCTTTGCCATTTTGGCTTCGCACATCTATACTGATCCTCCGCGTTACATCAAGGGCCATGCCATCAGCTTGTCGTTTCAGATTGTGGGCTTTTTATCTGCCCTTGTCATGTGGATCTACATGCGATGTATGAACGTCAAGAAGGAAAGAGAGGCTGCTGAACATCAGGCAGCGGGTACCGTTCATCCCATGAGATACCAGTCTCTTGAGGAGGTTTACGACCACCATCCTGATTTTCGATATATTCTGTAAGGGCAAAGTACCTTGTCTGGCTCCACGATTAACCTCAGCAGTCAGACCAAGAAAAGGATGGCAAAGTCGAACCGATATATTAGGTGTGAACAGAATATCAGCATTAAGTAAAGAAAGAGCACCAAGCAGGTCACGATTATAGTTCAATGATATGCAAATCTGTATTGCTTATCCGCTACACATCTATAACATGGGGCAGATTCTATACACATATTTTGGGCAGACGTCTCAGGACACAGTCATCTCTCAAAGAGACTTGATACATGGTAGACCAATCTTATGATAGCTGAGTCTTTTACCATTTCATTTCTCCTGATGCACGACATACCGACGTCCTGGTAGGAACGGGGAAATTACCCTTGGCGGTTGAAGGCCAGCCATCAGTTCTGATGCTTTAGCAACCCGTGTTCAAGGTAATTTGGTTTCCAAACTATGGCGCTACTGCAATGACTTGACTGTTTGGGTAATTTGACCGAGCAACGCCTGAGCAATTGCAGCTACTCAGAGCTTATGGGATATATGGGGTCATGATCAAGTCCAGATTGCACAACCCATTTCCAGATACCACCAATTGACAGGATCGGGACGGGTAGTGGAACAGTATCAGTCTCAACTGGGAACAAGTATAAAGCTCAAATGCCAGCTGCATACAGTGACCCTCCATCATCCCTCCTATCCCATCCCATACACAATGCATACTCCCAAAGCCCAAGCCCCCCCAGAAGCAAACGTCTTCTACGTCGGCGGCTCCTACATCCAAGACGCCCGTGGAACACACATGACAGGATCCATGTACGTCCGCCGCCACGGCAACAAAGTCCCCGGGCAGCCCCCCATCGTCTTCATCCACGGCGCATCCCAAACGGGGACGACCTGGGAGGCAACGCCGGACAACCGGCCCGGCCTGGCTCTGCTCCAGGCCGCAGACAACAACTGGGAGTGCTACGTCGTCGACCAGCCGGGCGTCGGGCGGTCCCGTTATCACGAGGCGGACATGGGCCCGCTCACGCATTACACGGTGGAGGAGCTCGAGGCGGTCTTTACTGCGCCTCGGCCGGAGGTGTCGTCGCCGTGGGCGAGTCTTCACACGCAGTGGCCTGGGTCGGGCAAGCGAGGGGATCCTGTGTTTGATGCTTTCTACGCGAGCCAGGTCGGACACATTGGCAGTTACGCCAAGGTCGAGACCCTCTTTAGGCCGGCTATCAAGGCACTGCTCAACAAGATTGGACCGGCATTCCTCGTTACTCATTCCCAGTCGGGGCCTCTCGGATGGCATGCTGCCGATGCCTGTCCGGGGTTGGTCTGCGGCATAGTGGCCCTGGAACCTCATGGGCCGCCGTTTGTCTATCCGGACTGTCCACCGTTCAACACACGACCTGAAATAGTCGGCAAATTAGTGCATCCGTTCGGAATCACGAGCACGCCGCTAGAGTATGATCCGCCGCTGCCAGAGGGCGCTGAAAAGCTGCCATGTCAAACACCACAATCGCAAGGCCCAGCCAGCATTGAAGAGACTGGCAGATACGCAGGCCTGATCAAGGGGCCGCGGCAAGGGGCTCCCGCACGACAGCTAAAGAACCTTTGCCACGTTCCCGTACTCTTGGTGACGGCTGAAGGGTCATATCATTCCGGATATGACCACCTCACAGCTCAGTTCCTCTCTGACGCAGGGGTTCCTGTTGAGCATGTCTATCTGGCTGACGAGGGGATACGCGGAAACGGTCATATGATGGCGATTGAGAGGAATAACAAGGAGATTCAAGAATTTATCAACAGGTGGCTGATGAAGCAGGTCCCCAATACAGTCATCGGTGATATCTCTTGACGGCCACGCAAAGAGATGCACAGAGGATGGGTAACTACAACAATCAAAGGGCGGTGCACCGCTCACTTCTTCGACAATGAAGTGCATGTTCTGGCATGTTAGACGTATATCATAGCATCGGTATACACCGTACTACTTCGAACTACAACACAATTAAAGGTGTCACAGACAATGTGAGATGAGTTGCTCCCTAGTCGTGAAAGAATATAAAATTATCAAATCATATCGGGTATATAAATGTCATGACGCCCAGAAAATGCTCGCTATGTGACAGAACCGGCCAACTCCACGCTTCCCAGTAAAAAGACCAAAGTCGCTCATGACGATGTTAAAAGATGTTGTCCTCCGCCACGTCCACGTTTCCCGGATGCTCGGATAAAGCCCAACGAGGACAAGACCAGGCCGAAGCTGCACGAGTAAAGGAGAAAAGCGTCGTTGTTTTCCTTGAGCTGCGCCGCTGCACCCAGCCCTGCCAGGATAACGACCATGCCTTCGGAGGATTTACAACTTGTTGACGCTGCTTGAACTGCGCCGCTGCACCCAGCCCTGCCAGGATAACGACCATGTTCCGCCCCAGGCACCGTATCTTCGACTTCAAGCTACGCCGCTGCACCCAGCCCTGCCGGGATAACGACCATGCTCTCAGTTGGACGCTGCGCCATCGTTTCTCCCGAACTAACCGCTGCACCCAGCCCTGCCAGGATAACGATCATGTTCTTGGAAACTCGTAACAGCCTCGAGACCCGGTCCTCGTCCCTTTGTTGGAGTCTCACGAAACCGAGTGTGGTTTACCTGAAGAATCCAGCTCCCAAAGTGGTGATGACTTGCCTCTTCTGGAAGACCTGCGATTCGGAGAAGTCTGAGAAGCCTTTGCACGTGTGGTGTGTGAAACAGAGCCCCCTTTTCGACGTTGGCGTTTACCATCGACGGTATCTGCATCAGGGTTTCCTAATGACTTGCTTGGATTCCCCGATTTGGTGCTTTCTCGCGCATCGCTCAAATTTACGGACGGATCGTCATCTGTGGTAGTGTCTTCTTCGAAATCGGCGGATGAGGTGTGAGACGTTGGAGGCGAGGGCAAACTCTCTATCTTCTGGCGTTTATATCCATTGTCCTCGCCGTCCTCGTCAGATCTGGATCGCTTCCGAGACGCTTGGCGTGTAGAGGGAGCGCCGTCATGCTCCAATTTGCGACGCTTGGGCTTCTGGGCTGTGGCATCCTCGTCAGATCTGACTCTCTTCTTTGTCAAAGCCGTGCTTCCGTCGTCAACCAGAAGGCTTGTTGATGCCTCTTGGGTTGCATTTTCGTCGTCTTCGGTCACAAGATGTCCATCGCTCGAGAGTGGGGGGAGTTGCTGCACTGTGGAAGTCCGGCTGGTGGAATCGGGAGCTGTACCACTAGGTTTGGACGTTGTATACTCGACTGCAGGTACTGTGAGGATGAAGTCGTCACTCGGCGTTTGATCCCTCCCATTGCATTCGCTCCGAGTCTTGTAGTTCCACTCGTAATCATCGGGGTGTTGCGCTGCCCAATACCGAGGCATTGGGCCATCCATATAAGGATAGCCGCGGTAGTCAGCATGGGCCTGCACGCCCGGCACGACGTCTCTCGCCCCCATTCCCGAGTTCTGCGTCTTCTTGCTCATGTCCTCGCCGGCGTCGCTATTCCGCGGCGACTCAAACTCTGCATCCGCGTCTACCAAGACCGCTTCCCTGCCAGAAGCAGCAGCCTCCAAAAGCCGCACAAAGTACTGGAAACAGCCCGTCTGGGAGGCATATATGGCCGTAAGCCATGCATCGTTGCTTTTGAAGGTTTCTGCATTGGACAGAGCGTCCCCGAGGGCGTGGTCCAACATGGCCAGCAGTTTTTTGCGTTGTTGCCGGGTTTTCCTCTCGAACTTCTCTTCAAATTCCTGTCGGTCGTTTGATTCCTTTGCTATCGCTATTGCGGTATCGTAGTATTCGTCTTCGTCAAACAGCGGGATTTGCATCGTATTGAAGCGCTGCCAGTAATCTTCCCAAAGAAAGTCGGGGTGCTTGATGTCGTGAGGAGCGGTCCTCCTCCACTCTGAGTTCTTATATTTATGATGAACCGGATTCGGCGGTTCGAATGGATGGAGAATCATGGTTGCTGGTGTATCCCAGCCGTGCTGGTCGGAACTCGGTTCTTGGTTGATGTCGCAGTCGCTATCGTTGTCGCAGTCGCAGTCGCCGTTCGTGATTCGGATCGCGTCTTTGCGGCTATAGACGTGAGGAAGCGCTGTGTCGGAGTTGTGACTGTCGTTTGATGCCTTTGCGCTGGACGGCGGGTGCTTTGGGAGAGATGGATGATTGAGAATGGCGATTGTTGAAATGGAGTGAAAGCGTTGAGGTTGGCGAGCCCGAGCCACTGCAGGAGATGATTGGTCGCAGCGTAGCGAGAGTTGGCAGAGCGCTACGACCAATTCGGGCTGTGGCTCAACGGCATGCTGAGATCTGGTGCTTCGGAGCTCCAAGCTTGCGCCACAGGAGTCGCTGGATGCCTGCACTGTATTTTACCCTGCACGAAATGGAAGTGCACGCCTCCACGGCAAATACTGCGGCTTCAACCGTTAACCGCTGTGCCTCTGCGTTGTACCAAGCAAAGATGTCCGACTGTTAGCGTTTTGTCACTGCAGCTTCACAGTTGCTCGAAATACATGTGATGCGCTGGCAATTACAGTTTCGTTCTTTTTGTGTTCAACAACTTGAAATGTCCGTACGAAAAAATAAGTACTACTGGCGTGGCTTCTGGGGCGTTGCGCGGCCCGTTGCCGCGCTTCCATTGTATCAGGAGCGGGAGTGGCTGTGCGTTAGTACATCCTCTCAGCTGTACCTCCACTACCTACGAAATACAGGCTCCGTCTGATGCACCCCGTGAACCAAGGACTCTCTGCGGTTCAGTGCAGATGAACTGCTCTGTCCAACCAACCATCTTCTCCCATGAGCTGCAGCATGAAGGCACCCGGACCGCCTGCTCACCGCGCTCGCAGCCATAACGAGGTCATGGACGGTTCGACTGACCTGCACACTTCGTAGCGCCTCTGCCAACGCCTCGGAAGCGTCTCAACGCGTCTGCTCTCTACCCACACCAACGCTGAACCCTCGGCATTGCCATCATGCCTCTACAGACGCAGGATATCAGCGCTCCCGCGTATTCCCCGTCCATCCACAGTTCTGCCTCTGAAACGCAGATTGATTCTCGTGCTGCTGGCGCTGGTGCTGGTGCTGGTGCTGCTGAACAGGGAGAAGAACCAACTGGCGAGCGTGAGACTGAAGCTCAAGCTCAACCACATCCCGATCCCTCCCCTAAATGCCCAAAAGGTCAAGAGACAGCGCCGGTTGCAACTGATGACGCAAAGTCCAAGGCTCCCACAGTCGACCAGATAAGGACGCTTCTGGATGCTGCCTTGCCTTCAGCCGGGGGCGCCCGGTTGCTCATTGCGTCGCCTCAATATCCCAATGATGCAAGCGAAGACTCCCCAATTGTACGGCTCTCACATGAAATCGAGGGTAGGGTGACGTCTGGCGTGGTTCAGAATTCCCAGCACATGGATTACTTTGTCCAGCAACCACTCCAGAGGGGCTCGACCGCTGTTGAACTGTGCTATGAGATCACCTTTATTCCAGGGAGCGATGATTGTTTGTTAAAGAACTGTACAAACTCAACGCTTCAACTGACATGCCTCGATTCCCGCTGGACTCGGTGGCTCATAAGAGAGAATCGCCGTGCTTTGATACGGCCTGGACTGTGGAGGATCTTCCTAGCTGGCGATGAAGACGACGCTTCTGACAGCCTTGGTACTGAGATTCTGCTCCTCAAGAGGCAATATACAGTGGCAATTCATAAGGCAATTGACTCGCCCTTGGTCAAACGAGCTGCCAACAAAGACGACGCAGAGAATCCCAGGAAACGACGAAAGCTGGGCAATGATGAGGCCGAAGGTGTCGCCGTTCCACTCGCTTCAAAGACGGCCCCTGACTCGGAATCTATCGCCAAGAGCACCGAGACCGTCCATAGCCACCATCTGACGGCCTCTTCCGTTCGAGAGATTGTCAACCCGACTGGCATCCCGCTTCTAGAGCTTACAGATAAAGAGACGGCAGTTATAAGCACCCTGCACATCAATGGTGACGCTTTACAACCAATATCCGTCTCAACGGCAAAGAGTACGGATTCATATCACCTCAGCCGGATCCAGTACATGGGCCACACCCCGTCCACCAGCGTCTTCTCTTGCCGGCATTCTGCTATACCCGGATTGGTAGTAGCCAAAGTCCCTCGATATGACGGCAAGTCGATCGATAAAGTCCCTGCAATTGCGCGGTCGTGGAAGCGAGAAAGGGATATGCTCAAGGGCCACTCTCATGTATATTTTCCCGTCGGTATTGTCCTACCTTGCCTCGAATACGTTCTAACATATTCCCAAGAGAAACATTGTGGCACTCAAAGCCGTCGATGCCCGCATGTTTGCGTTATACTTGGAGGTCCTGCCTCGATCCCTTTATCGTGGCAATACATCGACCTTCATGTTGTCGGATGTTGCAACCGTTCTCTCCGACATGGCATCCGCCCTTGTATACTTGTGCGACAAGTCCATCATCCACAACGACATCAAGCCAGGTAACATTGCGTTTTCTCCTCAGCGAGGCGCCGTCCTTTTCGACTTTGGAATGGCCACGAACGACGAGGATCAAGTGACCGGGGGGACGATGTGGTACCTTCCTCCCGACATCATCCACCGCAAGCGACGGGGGTTCCCAGGAGATGTGTGGGCACTGGGCATCACAATGGTCTACTTGCTCGGCAAGATGCAAATTCCGGAAAGGTGTGGGATCAGGTGGGACATGGCTGATTCGGGCAAGAAAAAGGGCTCGGATCAGGCTATGATGACATGGTTTAACCTCGTCAAGGACAAGAGAGAAGAGCTGGACAGGGAAAACAAGATCGAAAGCATAGTATATGATATGCTCCATTGGAAGGCCGAGGCGCGAATAACGGCCGAGGGCATTACAGCAGCTCTCGATGCTTTGAAGCTGGACTCGCCCGATAACCAGACATGCGATGAGAGGCGCCTGACGAGGTCGCAGACGAGGTCGCAGGCGAGGTCCCGTTCGGTAAAGTAGAGGTTGGTATACATGGTACAAGGCATTGCGATGGCGTTTCACGAGCAATTTGTTTCGATAATTAGATGGTCACTTAACAATACAGGTCTGATAATCTATCCGAGTGCAACTGTGTCGTTCCACAGTCTAAATCGTGGCATCTAGACGAATCACCGCCCCAACCACGAGTCGCCTACCCGTCCTCCTACAGCTTGCATGACTGGCTATGCTTCATCATCTTATGCACGACACGAGATCTGTCCCCAAAACGCCCCGGAAAACAACTCTAGCTTGACTTTGTCGAGCGCAGGACGCATATCACCTGCGCAGTCGAAGTCGGAGCACGAGCCCTCGAACTTGATCGCCAAGGTCTCGCTGAAAACCCATGGAGATTATCATTGCGATTCGGAGCCTTTTATCAACTGATGATGACCAGCGCACAGCTCCATCCGGCCTACCTTATATATTGGGCGTGCGCCAACATCTGCATCAAGACTTTGTCCTTTGTTCCCAGCTACCACCACACCAAAGTCAGCCAACATTGTCCACAAGTCGTAGGGTTATCCAAGGCAACCCACATATCCAAGAAGAGCTTCCACAGAATGGAGAACAGCAGTCCCTGAAGGCCATTGCTCAGGATGCGTGTCTTCAGGCCTCGCCCGAGCAGCCCCGACACGCCGTCGTCCCCAATCACCAGCCGTGCAGCCTCTCCTACATCAACAATGGTCAGCAAAGCAGCGTCAAATACATAGAAAGCATTTTATATGCGCTTACCGTAAGAGACTTTGGTGTCGTTGACCTGGCGGTAGGTCTTAATCACCCTCAAAGAGTTGGACACGGAGTCCGAAATGATGGATGCCACGAAGCCGATAAAGGCAAGGCGCAGCAGCCACAGGAAGAGCTCGCTTTTCGGCGGCTCGTGGATGGCTTCGGTCAAGAGGTTATACTGTGGAGGACAAGCTGTGAGCAAGTCTTCATGATTCGTGCCGAGTACCATAAGAGAAGTGCAAGGCAACACCGTACGTACCGTGGCAAACCAGGGATAGTGCCCGACGAAAGTCGCTCCCGCGGTGGCAAATGCTCCCCACCATAGAGTGCCGATTCCGTGCTCTTTGATGCGTTTACGGAGGAGAGCGGTGCCGTGGGAGCCTTGTGCCTGGAGGGTCGTCTTGAGAGTGTCGACGGGGGTGAGGATCATGCGGAAGCCGGCGGCACTGTGAGATTGCACGTTAGTCTATTCGATACTGGTAATTTCTTTTCCCGAAAATGAAACAGATGATGATATAAGTGAGGATAAACGTAAACATACCAGAGAGAGGCAAAGACCGTCTTTGCGAGCGAGGGCAGATGCTTCAGATACGAGTTGGACTGCAGCAGGGCCAAGATTCCGGCGTTGGCGGCCGTGTCTCCGAATCTGGCCACGGGGCCTATATAGTTTAGCACTGAGGAAATCTTTTATGAAGAGACAATATGGGACTACCTTGTATGAGTGCAGCTCCGATGCCCGAGTAGTACCGGCCAAGTCCACCATCCGCGTGGAGGATCTGCGTGGCTTGGGAGAAGGATGTTCCGAAGCGATACTGATAGTTCATGATTGTTCGGAGTGGCTGCAGAGAAAGTCAGACGATTGGAAGCAGTCATATATAAGTTATGTGCCAAGAACGATAAAACCAAAGTGTTGAGTGAGTGAGTGAGTGAGTAGGCTGAGAGACCATACCATCAGCAGCAACACCTGCAGAACCATTGCTGCCGCGCCACTCAAACCGCCCCCGAGCGCTTTTCTAAGCGCGGATTTCAAGTCAAACTGATGAGTTTCAGTCAGATACAGATCACTCATACAACTTTGTAGACCCGAATTGTTGCAGGAGGAGCACAAACATTGACATCGCCGTCGGCATCGATCCAGCCCTTGATGAAGACGGCAAGGCCAAGAGCCGCGACCAGCACCCAGAAGATCCTCCACAGAACCCAACGAGTGACGTTCTTCTCTTCTACTTGCTGTTCCGGCGGGGGTTGTTCGGGTTGCTCTCCCGCCAGCAGAGGCGTGTTTTCGTCGTGGCCTGACTGGGTCTCGACGTCGTCCTCGCGAGCCATGGCGGGCTTGCGTACTGGGTGACGCCTAAGAACAATGAGACGTAGGTTCGGGTGTTTTATCGGCACCAGCTGCGTCGACAGTTGAAGAGTCCAGGAATAACTATTCCGTAATTGCTCCAAGGACCAGCTCAACGCGTAATATTTGTGAGAAAGTCTCTATGCCCTCATCATCGTAAAATGGGCTACGCTGATATCAGCTGAGACAAGAAGTCAAGACATAAACACGGCACGTCGGATTGGTCATCAGCTGGCGCTGATGCAAATGCAGATGGGGATTGCGAGATCACCGTCGGCACTCGGGAATAAACCGACATAATATCGCCTTTTTGCCGTCTGAGTTTCCCCGAATCCGCTGGCAACTCACAGTTGTCTCTTTAGGTGCCAGCCAACTCCTGATGTCTTTTATATTAGTTTGCGGTCTGATACCAGATCTTCGATTGATGCAAGCTTCTCTAAAGTTGAACCATGAATGTTGCACCATTATTAGGACGATGAAGAGAAGAAATGGCATCGCCGCTGCGGTTTCAGTGACTTTGATGCCAACAAAATCCAAGAGTAATCGATCTGGTCTTATAATGTCATGTCCATCGAGGAGAGCTGGGAGGTTATAAGGCGTCGACGGCTCGTCTCCAAGGAGAGCTTCGATCATATACCCCCAAGGACACAAGCGAATTGGAACCCCTCTGGACAGGACGCAGTTCAACTTATACCTCAGTCTGTAATCAGAGATGAAATCCATTTATGTATTCATTTTATGCTTGTGCTCTTCATTTGAGATGGCATAACTGATATGGTTCCGCGACAGGCTCACGTTGTGGGTGAAACCACCATATGAGACCGTCTCCTCACTAACAAATGCACGATATCGCCACACTCCAGTTATACATGATGGTTTATATTATTGAAAATGAGGTTGATTGTCGGTTATTGCTCTCAAAATTAAAAGGCATTGGCCCTGTGACCACAAGGCAAACATGCCCAACACCTATCGGAGCCTGACAGCCCTGGCTAATCGCTTGTATGGGCTTGTACTCGTATGCGCTTTAGACACGACTTGCATGTTGTTCAACATTATACAAATGATGCTTCTTATTGCTAGAAAGCTGAGGATCTATTGTCTCTTCTTTAGGCATACAAACCCGCAACTCTCACACTTTGGCAATTTCCCCCATCAACACCCCCATCTCCCTCTCACCGAAGCACACGAATCTCATCCGCCCTCGCCATCCAGCATCGCAGACAATGGACGGATCATGACTCTTCTTCCCCCCCTCCTTCTACGACCACTTTCGTGACAGAAAGAATAGTCAATAAGAGAGTTTGTCCTTTACATAAAGCATAAAATGGGACCCCGTCGGCGGTGAGGCAGCCCAGGCAAGCAAACTCGTGGTGTGGTTGAGGCAGACAGGGCGACGCCATTCCTAAAATTACCATTTCGAAGTCCCCATGTTTTCAATTTCGTTCTACCGCCATCACAAGGCTGTTGAATTGCAAAGAGTATGGAAGTAAATGTGATTCTGGTTATATTATTTATGATACGGAATACTCATGCAGCCCAGGGGAAGGGCTTCTTTGTTAGTATTGCTTCATGTCATATCAGATCGTTTCGGAAGCCCCTTGCCAATGCCAGAACATCTGAATAGCACACCTCGTGTGTGACTAAAGTCTTCTAGGAGCTTCTCCAGTGTATCAGGGCAGCACCTGGAGTGCTTGGACGTATCTTGTCTGGTTCTTTGTCCTTGATTCACTGACAATAGCCGGATTGGGAGAATCAAGGGAACGTCAGAGGAAGAAGCATTCGGAGAGCAATGGCCTGCTGCGTGAGTGACTGGCACGGGCCAGATGCCAGACAACTTCCTAAAGATGCTTTCGTTAGTAACCTAAACCTATTGTTTGACGTCAAGTTCACTTGGCCTTCTATTATTCTTGGAGATACTGTCACATATGGCATATGTAGCGTATATTTATAGCCACAACCCCCCGCTGTTGAGTCACACCAGCAACTCCTTCTTCCATCACTTACACTCCAGCATCTTACACGAGACAAACAACTCACTTTGACAACTCTCAACTTACAACACACACACATACACATCAACCCACAAACACCAACACAAACAGCAATGACTTCCTTCGGCAACGTCCGATGCGGCGAGGTCCCCTCCCTCCACGCCCTCACCGTCTCTCCCAACGTCCTCGGATCACACACCATCCCCCCGACCGCAACACTCGTCCGCTACATCACTGTCCCGCCCACCGGCCCCGACGTCTACGTCATGGAGGTTGCCAGCGCCCCGAACGTGCAGTTCCTGTTCAACTTCTGGCGTCCCAGGGCCGCACTCGACTGCTTGACTGCGGATTTACGCGACACGCCCGCCGGCCGTGCTGCTGCTATGGGCTCGTTCACCGAAGCGTGCAGGACGTCGGGTTCGCAGGAGGAGTTTATGAGCAAGTTGGGTGGTATTACTTTCTTGGAGAGGTCGTCCGAGATGGAGGCGTATATCGTGCGTGTCCGAACGGAGTAGGAGTTTGTTCAATGGCGAGGAAGGGAGGGTTGTGGTCATGTCTGCGAGGTGGCTAGGGCTAAGTGACTGGATTGTCTGCTTGCTAATACCTTGGATGCTTTGGGATGTCTGTTTATAGCTCTATTCACACACGTTCATTCCCGATCTCGCCGTGATTTGCGGTCGATGAAGCAGTCAACAGTGACTGATCGTTTGGTGAATCAATGCCGCATGCGCAGTTTGTGATTTGATATGCTGGCTTTTCTTCTTGTTTGGCCCCCATCAGGAGTTTGTGGTGATAGAGCTACAAACACTTGATCCCTGATCAGCCTGTCATTCTCTGTATATAGATACTCGAATCTCTGCCCTCCTCATAGCATCCAGCTTCTTCTCCATCCACCTCTTCCACTCCCAAACCCTCCACCACCAACAAAGAACCCTAAACTCACCACCTCTCAAACCCTTATCATGCCTTCAACACAACCAAATCCATGGCAAGACTACCATGGCACCGTCCCAGAACTCCACGCCCTCCGCCTCTTCCCCTCCCTCCTCAGGCCCAACACCATCCCCGACAACGCAACACTCAGACGAGAAATCAAGATCTCGTCCACTAGTCCCACAATGCACGTTCACGAAACAGCTAGCATCGGCGACGAGCTGTACATCTTCTTCTACCCCTGGACCAGTAGGGGCTTTGGCTACTTGTTCAGGGAGATGAGCCCTAGCAATGACAGATCGTACCTTGACTTGGTGCGTGCGGCGCTGGACAATCCGACGGGGTTCATGAACTTGCAGGGTGTTACGGTGTTGAGGGAGTCTCGTAACATGATGGCGTATCATGTGGCTAGCTGCTATTTCACGAAGGAGAATCTGGAGGATGTTCGAATCAATGGTTGATGGTGCTGCCAAGGATTATGCGGCATCGTCAAGCCAAGTCCTTCCAACTGCGCCTTGACCGGATAAGAGTTTGGCAGCACGAGGGAGTTGGACTCGTCGCTAGGCGGCTCTTGAGGCTGTATCACAAAATACAAACATGAAAGTATTTGTCGTTTGATGAAGTAGTGATGGCCCATGTTTAAAAACTTTACCTGAATGAGTAATCGCAGCGTAAGATGCCAATTATACGATGTGTTCAACTACATCAATAGTTTGCTTTCTATTAATAAGAATGTTTGTTCTTCATCTATACTCATTCAAGGGAGTGGAATATGGGAGCTGATACACAACTTGAACCAGATACGTAACAAGGAGACCGTTAAGTACTCTGTATGAGAACAAGTCGCCAGAGGAACTCCTTCATGTACTGGGTAGTATCAGGAGGTTGGATAGGATGGCTGGCATGATGTTGTTGCTTGTGGACCATATGTATATCCGGACAAAGGGCAGGAAGAGGGCTGATGGGGGCATGTACCCCTATAGTTGGTGATAGTTGGCGGCGGACGACCTCTGTTGGCGTTTCTAACCGTCAGTTAACTCTTGTATCACTTGTCTTACAATGCAACCATGAGGTATTCATGTTCGAAAGCATTCTCTCTTGATAATCTTTGTCTTTTAGAAAAGAACCTACGCCAGTCAGCCACAACAAAGGTCCCCTGCTATACGACCCAAAAAGCAAGGCTATCCATCAAGAAGAATAAAAACGACTAGCCTAGCCAAACGTTGCGCGGACGGGAAATGACCAACTCAACCCAAGGAGATGGAACGTGTTAAAACAAGTTGGTATCCTTCCAATTGGAGCCTTTTTCCAAGAGAAAAAGAAAACGTATAGAGAAGAGGAAAAGAAAGCAAAAAAAAAAAGCAGTAGCCACGGTGGTATCACAGGAATCCAGCCCTTCCATCACTCCCTCATCTTGACGTAGTTACTTGGGAAAATTCCATGCCGCTGTCCAATTTGGCCGGTCCTAGGTGTAGCGTTAGCATCGTGCCATGTACAGCCAGGCACAAGAGAGGGGGAGTACTCACCACCAGTCGTTGTCACTGTCCGTCTTCTTCAACACCGTAATGATATCGCCTTTTTTGAAGCCCAGATCGCCGGGCTGGTCCGCGTCAAAGTTGAACAAGGCCACGGCCTCGTTCGATTTCAGCGTAGCCTGCTTGGCCCCAAACACAGGCTTTGGCGCCGTGGGACGGCCAGGACCGACCTTCTTCTCCAGGGGCTTGTCCTGCAACCGATAGTCGTTGTCGAACCCCCTAGCCGCAAACGTGTTTGAGCGTGTCGGGGCGTTGAATTCCTGCCTGTCGTAGACGTCGTCCTGCCAAGTGTTTGACCTGGAGCGGTTGTTGTGCTGGCCCTCGCCATACGCAGGCCCCTGTCGACCCTCCCAAACGACCTCGTCATGGTTGTCATCGTAGATGGGCATGTCGTTGTACATGGTGTCGTCGGAGGAGCCGAGCCTCATGCCGCTAAAGACTCTCGAGTTGAGAATGTTCATGAGGGGCGCGGCCTGCGGCGGGGGCGGCACGGAGCCCGTCAGCAGCTGCTGCGCCGTGTAGCGCGTGCCGTACAGCTTCTCGTTGGCATCTCGGCGCTCAATGATGGCCGAGCCCTCGAGCGAGACGCCGGCGAACAGGCCCTTGGTCTTGGAGTAGCTGAAGATGCCCGACAGGCTCTTGAGCGAGGCTGCGCCGGCGGCCTCGGCATTGCGGCCCACGGGCCCCGCAGCCAGCGACACGTTGCCTCCAAGCGTAATGGAGCCAGCCTGCGCAAACGTCTTGACGGCCGAGGTGTCGTTGAGGATGAAGACGAAGTCGGTCAGCTCGAAGCCGATCTGGCCGCCGAAGCCGCCGCCCAGAGTGCCAATGGCGCTCGGGGCGCTCCATGTGCCGTCGGGCAGCCGCGCAACGACGAGGCCGCTGCCGAAGCGGCCGGATCCGAGGAAGCCGGCCTTGAAGACGGTGATGATGGCGAGGCCCTTTGCGTTGGACAGGATCGAGGGCGGGATGACCTTGTCGGGGCCAAACGCCTGCCGGGGGTTGATGAAGGACGAGAGGATCTTTGCGCACTTCTTGCACTCGGCTGTTGGATCGCGAGAGGAGAGAGGAATCAGAGAGTCAGCCTTGAACGCCTTGATCCGCCAGCGACTCGCACGCTCAGGAACCAGGGCATCTTTGCGGAAACGTGGCGAGCCACCCACAAAAAGCCAAAGGGTTATAAGATGGGGAGCAATGAGGTTATGACGTAGAAAAGCAGCAGCGCGGGAATTTACTTACATGCCATGGAGGCCGGCAGAGGATTGTTGATGCCCATCTTGGCGTGATTGAGCCTGCGCGAGGCGATTCTCCCGGGAGCTGGACGTGAGGAGGACGAGAAGCAGAGATGGAGAGCAAGTAAAGCAAAGCAGAGAAAAGGTGACTGTATGCCAGAATCCTATAGAGGCAGGATCGGATGCTGTTAGAGCAAAAGGTGGTTGCGTCAGCAGGTTCTAGTACTACCTTACCTACTCCAGCACTGCCCGGACATTCGACGACTGCAGTGCTGCTGCCCTGACATCCGTACCGTCATGCCGCTAGCAGGGGCTCAAGGGCGGGGTGGCGGGGGTTGACGGCAAGTCGGGGATACCTGATGGAGCGAGACGCTTCCGCGCGAGCGGCAGGTATGGGATACGGCGGGAGTACCTTAGCTTTAGTTCTACTCGTCGGATTCGACAGCAGCCTTGCAGGGCAGCAGTTCTGCGCTCCGGACAGCGCGTGTTATTGCCGGCTGGGCGCTAATTATGTACTGTAGAAGACCACCGAGGCAGCCTGAAGGAGACCGAGCAGACGTCTGTAGCAGTGCGTTCGAGACGTTTTCGAGTTGCTGTGCTGCGCTCGGCTATTGTGTGTTCAGTTGCGGTGCATCCAGCCACAGGGCGAACGTCTCTGGTTCCAGTCACGAGCAGATAGATTGATACATACAAGTAGTAGAACGCACATCGGAACCTCATGACGAATCTCTCCTTCCAAGCTACCTACCTTATCCATCAACCCAAGCACTGAATCACAACCTCTCTTCCACCTTCCATCGTCCTTCCAGCCCGGAATCCCGGCCCCACCCGCCAGCTCTCGACGCAAAAGTTGCCCCGGCCGCGTGGCGCGTGGCGGTGCGACCTCGAGCCGTCAATTGACCCGACCGGGCTGGCGCTTCATCCAGCACGAACGACTGACTGACTGCCTGAGGCGCTGAAACGCAAGAGGCACCACAGCTGAAGCACAAGGGGGGCCGCCAGCACTGAAACCAGCGCTAACCTCGTGCAGCCGTCCAGCACCAGCAACCTCAACCCTCTTTGGTCTCCCTCCTAATAAGCCAGTCCAGCCATCGTCATCACCATCATCCGCTACCACGCAATCCAAGTCTCGCTGTCTTCGTCATCCATCCCGCTGAATCTTTCCCACTCGCCGCACGTTTCGTCGAATTCAGCCTCCTTCACTCGCGCCGCGCCAGCAGCAGTCGCCATCTCACCACCATCGCAACCCAAACAGAACGCCCTTTGTTGAGCTTCCCTAACGCCGCGCATTGCCTCAACCTCCCGAAACACAGTCGCCTCCCCTCGAACGAACCGGTCTCACCAGGAAGAACCTCTCTTGGTCATCATCTGTTCCAGTCGAAGCGGCAGACACTCTCGCGACATCTTCCTCCCACCGGTCAAACCTACCTTACCAAGGCCACTCCAAAACCACCGAATAATCTCCCTCCCCAAACAAGAACATCAAACGCAAACTCCGCAACCATGTCCGAAGCATACGAGCGCGAGCGCCAAAACAACGCCCGCCTGGAAGAGCTCTCGTCCAAAGTAACCGCCCTGCGCGGCGTCACCGTCGACATCTACGACAACGCCCGCGCCCAAGACGTCATCGACCACACTGTATGCTTTCCCCCCCTTATTCCTTTCAAACTCTCACTCGCAATCTTTTATTCTCTGGAGCTCGCCTGTCTTTTCACACAGCTACTGACATGAGGGGGTGTGTCTCCGTATAGTCTGATACCTTCACATCCATGGCCTCGCAGGTCAAAGGCTCCGCGACACGATTAACGAGAATGGCTGCGTCAGGGAACAACGTGGCGATACTGAAGCTCGCGGCCATCATCATTGGAGCCTTTCTGTTGCTGTACTATGGCATCAAGTGGATTTTTTAAAACTTAATCGGGCATTTTTCCATTCCAACATGGCATTGCGATACGAAAGAACTGCCAGGCTTAGTATCACGCGTTGCAGCGGTGATTTTTCCATCTGTGTTTCGATTTGTTTCATTTTTCCTTTTCTCTTGGTCGACTTCAAATGTTGTTTTAGGATACGGCAAGGTGCAAGTCGGATTTTGCAAAGGCAATACCCTCGGTGTGTTACGCGGAGTTCTCGAACACGGATCAACTACTATACTTTTTTCTTTTCCCATTTCCCTCTCGTCTTTCGTTTCATCGTGGAAAGAAGTCAATTCGTATGGAAGCATTATAACTGTAGAATAGTATGGCATACAGGTCAAATAGATTCATCACCACAGGCACCACAAATGCCGTGACCCGCTCAGCTCTATGTCCTCGTTTCTTTTTTGTTTCGTGCAATCTACAAGACTCCTAACATGCATAACAAACGCCCAGTAACATGCCCGCCTACCCAAAGTACAACGTCGTCATTAGCCCGTCCTCCATCTTGCCCGGCCTGCTTCCAGCTTCGTCATTATAGTATATATAGGAAGAGGCAAGTTTTTACTGCCAGACATTAGAGAACAAATCGTCATCGGCCCCAAAGCCTCCTTTGGCTGCCGTCCCAGAGCTCGTCGCCGGCCCGGTGCTGCTCGCCCAGCCGCCAAACTCCTCATCGGCGGCAACCTTGGGCGCCAGGCTGAAGCCGCCGTTGGATCCGGGCACAATGGGCGTGTTGGCGAACGAACCACCTTCCCATCCGAGAGTCGTCGATGCCGGCTTTGGCAGCGAAGGGCTCTTTTGGGCGAGCGGAACGGCCGTCGACTGCGAAGAGGTGCTCCACTCGTTTCCTCCCCAGACATCAGCTCCCGACAAGTTGGCCCCGCCAATGACGGCCGCGGTCGAGCTCTGGGCGGGCGCAGGAGCAGCTGGAGCAGCGGGTTTGCTCTGGGGGGACGAGAGGTTGAAGACGGAGCTCGACACTGGGGCGCTCGGCTGGGCGACGGGCGGAGACATGGACTGGGTGGGCGCGGAAAAGTCGAAGAGGTCGTCCAGGGCAGATGACGCCTTGGGGGCGGCGGCCGGGGCAGCGGCGGGAGCAGCGGACACTGGAGTGGAGAAGGCTCCGAACCCGCTGAAGCTGGAGCTGGAGTTGGACGGCTTCGATTGGTGAGATTGCGCGGACTTCGAGTCGAAGAAGCTGCCTCCGCTCAGGCCGCCGAACGCATTGCTATTGTTGGACGCCGTCGCCGTCGACGTTCGCACAGTGGAGCCCAGGTTGGCAAAGCATTGCTATTGTTGGACGCCGTCGCCGTCGACGTTCGCACAGTGGAGCCCAGGTTGGCAAAAGGATCGACTGGTGCTGGCTTGGCGGCCGCCAGGTTCAAGTTGCTGAAGGCGTCGTTGAAGCCACCCATGGAGCCCTGCGAGTGGTGGCTCATGGTCGGCGAGGCGGGGCCTCCGAATCCGTGCTGCTGCTGGTACTGTTGCGGGGGTTGCGGCTTAGGGGCAGAGGCATATAGCGACAGGATAGACTGCTTCAGGTCCGGCCTTGACTGGCCACCGGGCGATGCAACCCCTGGAGTGCTCGCAGGCCGCGGCGGCTGACTGGATTCACCAAAGAAATCCAGCCCGAGCAGCGAGTCCTTGGTTCCAGTCGTCTTGGGAGGCGCGGGTTCGGCCTTGGGCGTGACTCTGCCGATGGGAGGTCCGCTAGTCGCCCGCACCGGCACGGGGTCATCGCCGCCGATGAGATCGCCCACCGCAGGAGCCGGCAGAGGAGACCGCCTCGGTGCCTGGCCCTGTCCTATCGACGCCTTCCTGATGGACTCGTTCCTCTCCACGACCTGCTTCTCCTTGACGAGGCTCAGGGGAACGTCGTCGTCGTCGGGGGCATCGAGGGTCGCAGGGTCGGGAATGGGACCGTCCATTGTCCATCGCTTCAGCTCGTATTTTGTGCGGATAAAGTTCTCGATCTTGGACTCGGAGGGGGTGTGGCCGGGCGCCAGCTTGGCCTCCCAGTACTTGTTGGCGCGGGCGTTGCCCCAGTTGAGCACGCTCTGCAGCTGCTCGTCGGTCCATGAGTCCAGGTCGACGGACTTGACTCTGCTGATGTGGGTGCCCATGCCGCGGTGGATGCCGGAGCAGCGAATGCAGATGAAGACGCCTAGATTCCAGCTGGCCCATCGGGGGTCTGGGAAGGCAATTCCGCCGTCAGTTGGAGGGGGAAAAGGTGGTAATCTCATCTGGAGGCTGACGTACGCTTGTTCCGCTTGCAATCGGCGCAGACTTTGTTGGGTTCGAGCTTCAGGAGGCTCTTGATGGTGGCCTGGTTCTGCGCTGCCCGCTCAGCGGCGGGATTGGGGGCTCGTCTCGACATGGCGGATCAGGTTTCGGATTGGAATTCGGATGACGAGGTGCGAATGTCGTGAGGATGGCGGGTTCGAGGAGTCGCGGTGGCCTTGTGCCTTATGCTGTGCAAGGACAGAGAAAAGCGGCAGCCTGGAGCAAAAGGTGTCGTGTGGCCACTCTGGACATTTGCCAGTTGCAAGTTGACCGCACCGGCAGCCCACGAAAGCCGCCTCCTGTATCAGACACCCGTGGGTCGGCGGCACTTCGGGAGAGCCGCGCCTTACCCTGGAGCGGCTGAAGTGAAACCGGGGGCCTCAAGCTGTGTCAAGCTGTGCTGCCTCCCCTGCCTTACCTCGTACTTGGTACACCATATCCGTACAATGAGACCAAATAGAATGAGAACTTCCAACGGGATTCTGGAAACTTATTGTTCTCTAGTGATTACTTGAACTCAACTGGCTGTGAGGCTTATGGAACCCCTGATGGTGCTGACTTGCTGAACAAGTTGCCCTTGTCAGTCATGTCCATGCACATTCCGACTCCGCAGTACACTCATTTGCGTGGTGAGACGGCTAGGCTGTCAAGCCGTCGACATGCTCCATCCATCCCAGATATTGGGGTTTCATCTGGACACTGTATTCCACATCCCCAAATCCCTCCCCAAACAGCATCCCGTTAGCGCATCCCTCCAGCGCCCAATAGCGCACAGTACAGTGTGGGCATCCCGGCCTCATCTGGATGATGCAATTGATTCCATTGCGGCTATACACAGATTTGTCAAAGACCCTCAGGCAAATCTTCCAAATTAGTACTTCCGACCAATCACGCAACTCCAGGACAACTTGAACCTCCCATCAACATCAACATCACAATCAAGATATAAAGACACAGTTGTAATCGCCTCTTTGCCTCTCCTCTTCTTTCAACATCACCAACTTTGTTCACAGAGTCGAGACTCAGCAATACCGCCTTTGATGCGCTTTGTGCCGACTCTCTCACGCTTCATCTTTACCCTCTCCAATCTCGCTCGTGTGAAATCCCCGCTTCGGATTCGACAGCCCGCTCTGCAGCCGCTTCGCCTGCAATCTATGTCCAGCATTCCCTTCCTGAGCGCGCTCTTTGGTTCATCGTCTAAACCATCATCCAACATGACTTATCCCGACCAGCGAAGTGAAGAGGAATGGCGCGCCATTCTCAACCCGAGTATGTTTCCAATCCCAACTTATCGTCTTGACTTTCATACAGATAAAAGTTCATCTAACTAACACCCCATAGCGCAATTTCGAATCCTCAGAGAAAAGGGAACTGAAGCTCCCGGCACCGGAGAGTATGACAAGCACTACCCCAAGGAGGGCGTCTACACCTGCGCCGCGTGCGATGCGCCCCTCTACAAGGCCGCCACCAAGTTCAACTCCGGCTGCGGCTGGCCGGCGTACTTTGACAGCATCCCCGGCGCCGTGACTCGGCATGAGGACCGAAGCTTTGGCAGCGTCAGGACGGAGATTGTGTGCTCCAACTGTGGCGGTCATCTGGGTCACGTCTTCAAGGGAGAGGGGTTCCCCACGCCTACTGATGAGAGGCATTGTGTGAACAGCATCAGCTTGAAATTTTCGCCCGAGGACAAGGTTGTGGAGAAGAGCAGCAAGGCATGATGGATGTTTGGTTCTGGGAGGATGGCTGATTGGACGGAGTCTGGCGATGTATATGGGCTGCTTAGGTTGGTATATAGCGGTACTAATTGAAATAAGAATTCAAAACTGGCTATAAGCTGCTAAACGCGGAAAATGTCTGCACTCGTACATGTAGGTTATTTGACCCGAGACTGAGCCTGGCCATGTCAGCTCAAGGTTAAAGAGCAATCAATCGAGGAGTCCAACATGCAACTCCCATGAGAGATTGAATGCTTATCACGATATGGGACCTGAATGAACGATTAAAAGACTACACATCACTCTTCCAGGTCTGTTGCCTTTTCACAAGCCAAACCAGAGCCGGATCAACCGTCAGCCGGTCAATCATGTGCACAGAAAAGCCGATGCCGCATTAGGCCTCTCTGCCCAAGACTACGGCAAGTTCTAATAATAATCAAAGCCGAATCGAGCTCAATGAAGGCAACCAACGCCATCTGCTTACAGCATCCAACGTCATATGCCCACATGACAAAAAGCCCGTCCACCGAGTGGCAGCAAAGATTAAAAGGTGAGGCAACATGGGAAAGAAAAGGCTGGGGAAAACCGCCGCCCCATCGGCATGTGAAAGGCGCTAAGGGGAAATGCGGGCGGTCGGCACTAAAACAGTTTGGGGGCGATTTGGAGATGCCTCGGCCGACTGCCCTGCAGCAAGCAGCTGCATTTCGGGCTACTTTGTGTTTGGCTGGGGGGGGATATGGAATGGGTGACACGTCCGGCCGAGATCAGCCGGGGTTGATTCTTCTTCTTTTAATCATTGTATCTCTCTGACTTGTTCTTTGATTCCAACTCTTTGTTCTTCTCTAGACTGCTTCTATTCACCCCCAACTCCATCTCCATCTCCTGTTTACCCAGATACCAAATCCACACATCGTCATCATGGGCGGTAGGTTCTTCACCAGATTCTACACCAACCTTGACGGACTGAATCCCGTATATCTAACCACTCTTCTTCTCCGTAGCCGTCGACAGAATTTCCCAAATCGGTGGCCAACTCACCGGCAATCCTACCGCCGGCGGCCGCGAGAAGCTCCTCGAAAAGCACCCCGACGATGTATGTCCTCATCCAACTCTCCCCACTCGACATCCCATAACATACATTAAAGACAAAATACTCATCTCCATACTCCTATGCTAGGTCGTCGTCACCGCCTGCTGCCGCAGCGCGTTCACCAAGGGCGGCAAGGGCGGCTTCAAGGACACCCCCGCGGCCGACATCATGGCCGGCATCCTCAGGGCCATCCTCGACCGCTCCAAGATCAACCCGGCCCTGGTCGAGGACATCGCCGTCGGCACCGTGCTCGCGCCGGGAGGCGGGGCGACGGAGATGCGCGCGGCGGCCTTTGTCGCCGGCTTCACCGAGGAGACGGCCGTGCGGACGCTCAACAGGCAGTGCTCGTCTGGCCTGCAGGCGTGCATCGACGTCGCGAACCAGATCAAGACGGGCATGATTGACATTGGCATCGGTGCTGGTGTGGAGAGCATGAGCTTGAACTACGGGTGAGTAAGAGGATGCTTCTCAACGGGCTTTTCATCGAAAGCTAACTGATAAAAAGGCCCGGCGCCGTGTCTGAATTCTCCGAAGAGTTTGCCAAGAACAAGGAGGCTGCCAACTGCAAGGTCCCCATGGGCGTCCTCTCCGAGGCCATGGCCAAGGACCTCGGCATCGACCGCGCCAGCCAGGACGCCTTCGCCGCCGCCTCCTACCAAAAGGCCATCAAGGCGCAAAAGGACGGCCTCTTCAACGACGAGATCGTGCCCCTCAAGGTGCGCGTCCAGGACCCCAAGACGGAAGAGTGGAAGGAAGTCGTCGTGGACCGCGACGACGGCGTGCGCGAGGGCATCACGGCCGAGTCGCTGGGCAAGATCCGGCCCGCCTTCGCCAAGGACGGCTCCATCCACGCCGGCAACGCCAGCCAGGTCTCGGACGGCGCCGCCGCCGTGCTGCTGATGCGGCGCTCGACCGCCGAGAAGCTGGGCCAGACGATCCTGGGCAAGTACGTTGCCGGCGCCGTCGTCGGCGTGCCGCCGCTGCTCATGGGCCAGGGCCCCTGGAAGGCGATCCCCAAGGCGCTCCAGAAGGCGGGCATTTCCAAGGACGACGTGGACATCTATGAGATTAACGAGGCGTTTGCGAGCCAGTGCCTGTGGTGCGCGAACCAGCTGGGCATTCCGCAGGACAAGATCAACCCCAAGGGAGGCGCGATTGCGTTTGGGCACCCCCTGGGATGTACGGGGGCGAGACAGGTTTCGACGTTGCTGTATGAGTTGAAGAGGACGGGGAAGAAGGTTGGGAATACGTCGATGTGTGTTGGTACGGGGATGGGGATGAGTGCCGTCTGGGTTGCTGAGTAGATGAATTCGAGCGGGCGTGGTATGTATGCTGGGGCTGTACGAATAGAATACGGGCCTGCTATGTTAACAAGGCATAATGGACGATAATTGATCATAGAAAGCTGCATAGTATTATATTGTGTGTGAGAGTCGGTCCAGTCCTTCAGTGCTGCAACCCCGTCTATATACTTCTCATGATTTCTGATATATCTGTATAAATTCCCACCGCTACGCAATGTCGACACAAGAGTCTCACAGCATTTCATTCAGAAGCCCTCAATCTGAGTACCGATACCCTTTTCCTTCGCAACCTCGACCAACTTGGTCCCCACCACCAGATCCATCAACCCAACCCCCACACTCTTATACACAACAGTGCCATCCCGTAGCCAGCGCGACAAACCGTCGTCCTTTTGCTTCTGCTTGTCCTTTTCGGACAGGTTGCTCGAGCTCTTCCGGAAATGCTTCGAAAAGGACGATTTCGTACCCGAAGAACTCGGACTCAAGGGGCTGGTGGGACTGGTTGGCATGTCGCTGGAGGTGGTGCTCATGGAAGGCGCCCTTTCGGAGATTTCGAGGTCTGAGAAGACTGATGAGGTTTGGGACATGACGTCGGAGGATTCGGATTCGGACTCGTCGACGGCCATCCGGTGAAGCATGACAAGTTCGCCTAGTCTGTTTTCATCATTGTGTCAGTCGCGATTTGCCCATATGGATGTGAGAGTGTGATGAGAGCTGCTACTACTTACTCGACAAGCTGAGTGGGCGCAATCTTTGCATGGATAATCTCTCCAGCTTCAGTCAATGCGCCTTCCAGCGTATCCACCACAATGACGCCGCCCTCATCCGCATGCTTGTGGAAGTGTCTGTGGCCCTTTTCGCGGGGCTTTGTCACCAGCTGCAAAAGGCCTTCAGGCAGTTCCCTCATCTGTGGTGTATAGCTTCCCACGGCGACAATGAGCCTTCCCTTCTTTCTGCCTTCACGGTTTGTGAGAATGGACGCATCGAAAAGCTCCTGTTGAGAAGGAGTGCAGCAATAGATGATGTCGGCAGCGCGGATATACTCCTTTTGTAGCCGGTCAAACTCATGAAACGTGGGCGTCAGAATACTAAACTTGGCCCCTTCCCAGCCCTCGCGGACTTTTATGTCGTGAGGGATAATGGTGAACTTCTTGAGAATGCGGCCGGCGCTGTCCGAGAAGCGGTGGTTGATGATGTTGACGTGCTTGACCGTCTTGCCCCTCATCATCAGGGCCAGGCGGACGTGCCAGTAGGCCTGCAAGCCGCTGCCGAAGACGGTGATTGTCTTGACGTGGTTGCGGCGATAGACGAGGCATAGCGAGGCCAGGGCTGTGCGGAAGGCCGTGAGGGTGCTGGCGTGGACGAGGCCGATGGGCCTGCCGTCTGGGGCGAAGAGGTTGACGACGCCTGTTGGGCTGATGCGCTGGACGGAGGGGTCACTTGACGCCTCGGCAGATGTGAGGGAGACGACTCGTATCAATGTCAGTGACGGAAGGGGTTGATATTGGAGTTTGTGATGGCGGTACCTACCTTTACAGCCCATGCCCGTGGGCCCGCATGACGGCATATACAGAGTCGTGGCCTGCGTCTCGGGATGCAGCGTCGATATACGATGCGGCTGCTGGAAGACGCCCATGCCATCGGCTCCGAGGTCGGTTGAGAAGGCATGCAGAGCATCGGCCAGGGTTTTCCGGAAATCCTCCAGCTCTTCCAGGCTGAGGGTCTCTAGGATGTCCCTGACCTGGTCATCTGAGAGTACCGTCAAGGTCATGTTGAGCAAGTGAGGCTGATAAGGGTCAGCTAGATGGAGGGGCAACAGCTCTATGAAGCTACTTGGTATGTATACCAGCTCCGGGTGCCGGCTATCGGTAAGGTGTAAACGAATGAAGCTGATTAAGCAAGATCCAATGAGATAGAGTGAAAAAGAAGCAATTCTAGTGAATATGGTGGATTGATGCTAGAGATGAGGTAGAAACCGGCGATTATCACAGCAGCTTCTACAGTGTTACAGTACTGATATGATGTAACTAGGGTCCTTGGCACCGGTCCGGCCATGAGGAGTTTGTGGAGTCGCGAGATTTTGGACCGAACTCGCCTGACGCTTCTAGAGGTGCTTCCCCACATGCTCGAGAATGTCGATTTCTTATCGTATTCGGCTTTATCTGGATGATGGGCTGTTGGCATGGCCGGGCAATTCGGCCAATTACTCCAGGGTAGCTGCTTGTGTGACGGTGCCGTGAATGTGAGAGAGAGGACGGGCTGGACAAGCACCGTTCAGGCACCCGGGGTAACGGGCCGTGATCGCGTAAGTTGTATGGTGAGTTGGGTCAAGCGAGAGGGAAACAAAGAGCTTAGGGTGCTCTGCGGATGTGCTGTCACAAACAATTGCGGCTCCGGATACTCTCGACACCACTGATTCGACATCTTGACGGAATACAGCGGCAGCACAGCTAGATATTCTCCAAATCGTGTATCATGTGCTAAGGAAGCGCCGTACGAAAAGCAAACGAATAAGAAGCGCAGTTTGCTTCGTATTGTGTTCAGTCTCTGACAGAGGGCCGCGTACGGGCCTACGTCACAAAGGATGCCGTGATGCATCGCATTGGAGCTGCCTGGAGAGGCTGTACTGGCCTTGAAAGAGGGCGTCTCTGCTGCTCGAAGGATTCCACTCATTGAAACGGCACGTAAACAAAGAAGTGATCACGATACATCCGCAGATATTTACCGACTTAAGTAGATACATGGACATGAGACGGCGCATCAACGCTGCTGCATCTCCTTGAAGCATTTCGGAACAACCCCCGTCTATAATACAGTACATACAAAGGTCCCTGCAGCCTCTCCCAGCAACAGCGCCCCAGCAGTCTGGTGGTCCAATCAGCAGCCTCGTCGCTGGCTCAACCGCTGTCCTGCAGCGCGGAGCCCTTCTGAGGCACACTTGCGCCAAGTCGCCGGTACAACGCCCGTCCCGTCTTCTTCTAGCCAATCCGCTCGTACCGTCTACCTCGACGCCCCGTATCCAACTCGCCCGCTCCTCCAATTCCCTCGGCCGCTATACCGCAACGGGGGCCCTGAATCAACCTGGCTAGAAAGAGGCTCGTCACCCTCGTTCGTCCCTTGGACAACACAACGTCGACATTCCACCCTCGTCCTCCTCGCCATCGACAGAGACGCCAATCCGCAGTCCTCGACCCAGGCCGCATCGCGCATGCTCTGAACCCTCTCGATCGCCCCGTCTTCGCACCGCTGCTCGACTTGCGAGGCCATTGCGCGCATCCACCAACAAAGGACACATACCGCACACACCGTTCTGTGAGCTGCTGGACAGCTTCGTCGACGAACCGCCAAAATGACGCTCAAGGAAGAGTTCCAGACCCGGAATTTCAGTACGTGGCTTTTGCGCTTTGTGTGCACATGTTGAATCTTGGACCGTTTGGGTGCTGACCGCAGTGACAGGTATCTACGGACAATGGTAAGCCTTGGATGCGCCGAACCTCCTGCAGCGCCGCTGCGACATGGGCCTTGGACGAGACGCTCGATTCGATGCGGCATCGCATACACTTCGATGCGAAACGAAATACTGTTCTTAGTGGCTAACCTGGAATTGATGTCACAGGTTTGGGATCCTGTCCATGATCCTCTGCTTCGCTACGGGCTTGTCCAACATCTTTACACTCTTCTCCAAACACGCGCTGCTGATTATCTTCTGCGCACTCGCTCTGTAAGTTGCCGACGCTGCTTCGCGCGGTGCAAACAGCTAACCACATCTCCTCAGCGCCTCCTCCTTGATCATTCTGTTTATTGAGGTGCCGCTGCTGCTCAGAATCTGCCCGACGTCCCCCAAGTTCGACGAACTCATCCGCAAGGTCACCTCCAACTACATCCGGGCAGGCACCTATGGCGTCATGGCTATTGTCCAGTTCCTCAGCACTATTATCGTGTCATCGAGCTTGATTGCTGCGGCGGTTTTCCTGCTGCTGACAGCCGTCTGCTATGGTCTTGCCGGCCTCAAGGGCCAGGCGTTTATTGGAAGCAAAACTCTTGGCGGCGCGGGGATTGCGCAAATGATTGTCTAAGATCCTTGCTGCTGCGCGAGATTAGGGAGAAGGCGAGATAAAAAAGGGGAGGGGGGAGAAGAAAAAAGGGAAAAAACATTGACGACAAGGGTTACTGCCTCAAAACGACGCATGATTCAGAATGAAGCTGGAGCCGAGTTGACGAGGCTTGGAACTTGGACAAAGAAACGAAAAATCTCAAGCGGGTTATCCGATGGATCGTTTTCTTATCACTCAATACTTTCGAACCGCTTGCTTTGGGGCTGTTGGGCATTTGTATCCTAAAAGGGACTGATTTCGGCGTCGGGCATGAGGCTTGGCTCATGGTTGATTTCGACAGATGCCGTTGTGCATTTTCACCTGATTGTGCTTAGTGGAATAGAGTTTTCAATTGATGTTATTACCGATGTTTGTTTTCGCAAGTGTCTGGTGTCCTGTAGAGCCGATTTTTGAAGGAGACAAGATATGTAAGGATCCATCAATCAACGTCCATCAAGGAAGCCATGTGCAGTATCTGAATCAGCGCAACTGGCAGATGTCTCAATCAAATCTCACTCTAGACCACCACCAGAAGGAACTAATTGCTCCACTGAAGCTCGGAGCATCTTCGATCTGATCGCGTTCCGATTTGCGGTTCTCGGAGTCACCGTGGCGTCTCACTTGTCGTATGTCCTCGTACCTCGACGAGGTAGTGCGACTTGCCGAGGAAAGGCAAACAGGTTTGGCGGAATGCAAGTTGTAAAAATAGCACTCTTAGCTCAGCATGGGAGTTGTGAGTGTTTCCAGGCCGCAACTCAACGGGCCATATGGTGTGACGGCGTGGATTTCATACAGGGGTTGCTCTTCCATATGTTGAGGTACGTAGATGTATGTCTGGCTGCTGGAACCATTTGCGACCTTTCAGCTCCCCGTCTGCAGATCGTAGGCATTATTGGATGGCTGCAGGGTAAATCACCTGCAGGTGCCTCAGTTTGACGAGCCCCTCGTAACTACATAGCATCTGTTGGTCTATTCATCCCGTGCTATCATGTACGAGTCTATGCGGAGTAACAACGCGGGATGTTGTCCGACCAATGGCGACGAGATCCAGCGGGTGTTGTCGAAATGCAGCAATTTGGCTCAATTGTTCACTTGGCGGTGAAACCTGTGAGTTGGGCGGTTGATTTGCTCTGTCGAGCGCCGTGTTGGCAGCGTTAGTTTGCCTGTAGCGTCAGTTTTGCCAGGTCAGCCGATCGGGTTGGATTCTGCCAGCTGCTGGCGTTTGAGCCGCGGGAAGAGTGATGAATGATCTCGATGGTGGGGTTGCTGGACTGCTGGTGACGCAATCCGTGATTCTGGGACCGGGGACGACTGAAGACGATGGAGAGTCGACCTGGAAGAATGAATGAGTTTTACATGGAATAGCACTATATGTAATTGCTGATACTTCTGAGCCAGTGCAGAGCATCGATAATCCGATAGCCCGTACACCTTCGTTTCGAGCGATAAAGAAGCTGCATCCATCCCTCCATCCGCTCTCCTTGGGCTATTCTCTCGTGGCCCAAGGCGTGTGTGGCGTAGAGGGGCTGGCGTGCTACCGTACGGCTGACGACCACCCGGCACTGTATCTGCACACCCGCGACAGGCGCATATCCCACTGTCCCAGGGGCTGCCCACACAGTGCGTGCCCGCCGTCCGCGCGCCCACTAGTGCTGCGGCCCCTCCAATGGCAGCGCTGGCATTAGCTGGCAGATAAGCTACAAAGGCCTGCTGGTGCCCGGTTCGAGGCATTGGACTCTGCCCTGGACAGCATCGCAGACTCTGATCGACCGCCTCCAATCCTACAATCTGTCTTTTGTGTTGTTGTTATTTGTTGCTAGAACTTCAACTTTATGCTGCTATAACGCCGATCTTTTCAGGCACTCAATCTCAAACGACCCCCTGAAGCAACCGGAATTGGTGAGTTGGCCCTGTGTTCATACAAGCGCTTCCGTGGTCACACAGTTACCATACGGTATGACTGTATGACTGGTTCGAGCATCGTCGGCCATTGACTGCTCGTCTTCATGCGTCCAATTGAGTGGCATCGTGCGAGGGGCTGCCTGTTGCCTGGATCCAAAGGAGTGCGATCAATGGGCGCTCGTTGGGTTCGGCATCAGGCCCCTTTGTGTTGCAGCCGTGGTCCTGTGACATGCCGCCTCTGACTCGAGCTGTGAAAAAGGGTCAAACGAGCTCCAGCTGACGCTTCGTGTCATTTCTCCAGGACGTTTACAATCCGTGACCGAACAAACCATCTGTTTCGATTAAGCAATCCACAAGCTGTTTCTTCTTATCGACTTCGTCCCGCATCAACATCTGCTTCTTTAAATGATCTATACACTATGACCGCACCGACGATGCAGCAACCTGTCGTCCCCCCTCGCCCGTCCAAGAGCCCGGCCAAAGACTTCCTGTCGGCCACGCCTCCTCCTGTAATTCCACCGCGGCCGGCCAACAAGCGGATTGACCGCTCAAAATCGCCCAATCCCGATCGATTCGCACAGTCGCCTTTTACCGATGGCGTCATACCTCCAAAGTCCCTTGCTGGCCAGTTAGGCAGCGACAGCAATGGGGGCTCCCAGGAGTCTCTCGACCACAATGAGAGCGTGCCGATGCCTTCTGTGGGCGAGGAAGGCATGGAGTACAGCATCATTGCCTCGGAGCTGCAGGGAGAGAGCACCGACTCTGCGGAACAGACTCGCTCCGTAGCCGAGGACCTGAAGCTCCATGCCCCGAAGCCGTCCCTGCCGGCGTCGAGTGCCCAGCAGCGACTCAAAACCGTCACCCGCACCGATTCGGACAAGGCTGCCTCGTTTGGCATTGGAAAGCCAGGATACCTTGAAGGGCGTTCGAGCTCTCGAAACGCACTGAGGAAGAAGTCCAGCACCAGCTTCTCCACCACGAGCGAGCAAGACCACCAAACCGATGATGAGCATGGCATTCCCGAGATTGGACAACGAGTCCCTATGAACCCGCATCTCGGTGACGTCCAAGCCCCGTCGCCTGCCCCAGGCTCAGAAGGAAACGGCAAGAACCACAACCGCAGACACAGCTCTCGTGGTCTCCCCCCCGGAAGCTATGGAATGCACGGCCACGGCGTTGAGTCGCAAGATGAACTCGACAGGGCCTACTACAAGAAGCATCCCGAATTGCTGCAGAGGGAGCTTCACACTCCACTATATGATCGCCCGAATGAGTTTGCCATGAGCAGCAACGATCTCAACAAGCTGGTCCGGGACACGCCCAACCGTAGATCTGGCATAGGTTGGTGACCACTCACCTGGCGGCTTTTCCCTCTAGCTAATTCATCCTTTATAGATTTCCGCGAACATGAGGGAACTCCCAATGACGAGGTTGCGTTCCAAGCTCACGAGGAGTATGCCAGCCGTATGGCCACTCCGCGCCCCGTCTCCATTGTGTCCAACAATGGCGCTCCGCTGGAGGATCCCGGATCTGAGGACAAGCCCATCCACGTAGATGACCCCAAGTACCCCGAACACTATGGCTATGGCGCCGAGAGTCCCGTTGATACTCCCGAGGACGACCTTGAAGCGCCTATCCTCGCTGCGGATGAGATTGAGAAGGATATGACCAAGCCTGCACAGCACCCGGCCATTCGCCCGCACCTCGACCGCAATGCCAGCTCGCATGACGGCACAAACCGCCCGACCAGCCGCCCCAACAGCCGGCCCACGAGTATCTACAACTCACTCAACACTCATGAGTTTGACCCCACTCCGCTGGAAGACGTACACGAGTACGAGCCTCTGTTTCCTGATGAGGCGGCCAAGAAGGAAGAGGAAGAGAAGCGTGTCAGCAAAGACAGCTCCAAGGCGCGCCACCACTTCCCTAGCAAGGATGTCTGGGAAGATGCGCCGACCAGCCATCACTACACCACTGAGGTGTCGACCCCCGACAACGTAGACGAGGAGGAGCAGCACCGAAGGAAGTCGTCGACGCACCACGACAATCGCCCCATTACCCCGGCCCAAGCGTTTGCCATGCAGCAAGAAGAGCTCGCGGAGAGGGAAGCAAGTGGGAAGAAGCACAACTTCCTGCCCATCCTGGAGCACAAGCCGCCGTCTTGGGTTGATCACCAGCCACACCTGAAGAGTGGAAGGTCGAGCGCGAACCACCGGTTCCCCAGCAAGGACGTGTGGGAGGACACCCCGGAAAGTCTGCTCTACCAGGCCGAAATTGAGGAAAAGCCAAAGGATGAGAAGAAGCCCGAGATCCCTGCTCGGCCCTCCAAGAAACTGGCCGAGTTGCTGTCGCACAAGCCCGCCGTTCCCGACCGTCCGAAGCCCAAGACCCAGGCCAGTGATGATGCCATCAAGCCATCAATACCTTCTCGGCCCGTCAAGAAACTTTCTGGCGACTCCAAGGACGGTGAGGCCCCTAAGCCGAAGCCGCCGGTTCCATCCCGACCTGCTGGTGGCAAGATCGCCGCGCTCCAAGCTGGTTTCATGAGTGACTTGAACAAGCGTCTGCAGCTCGGCCCTCAACCGTCAAAGAAGGAAGAGACGGAAAAGTCTACAGCAGAAGAGGAAAAGGAAAAGGTCCCGCTGGCTGACGCAAGGAAGAGTCGGGCCAGGGGACCGCAGCGTCGTGCTCCAACCAAGGCTGCGGCTCCGGCTGCGGCCCCGGCCGCGACGAAAGACGCTGCCCCTGCCACCCTTTCCATCTCTCAGCCACAGACAATCTGGAACATTGATCCTGAACATGGCGATGTTCACGTTGTCTCTGACTCTGCCGACGTGCCTGTAAAGGGAGCTTCTGAGACTGCCCCGGAATCGGAACAGCTACCGCCTCAGCCAACGGAGAGCGAAAATTCTGCTGAGTTGGAAAAGCCTCAGGCAGTGGAAGAGGAGAAGAAGGAGCCGGAAGTCCCCGTCCAGGTAGCGGAACCTGAGGCTCTCAAAGAATCCCCAGAGCCCGTCGAGCCTTCGGAACATGCAGCTCCCGAGCCGGCGCCGGTGTCTGAACCTCTGGCCGAGTCTGAAGAACCCAAGAGTTCTGAAATCGCCAAGGAAGTGCCCGAAAAGGTCGAGGAAGCCGAAGAGGCCAAGGAGCCCGAGGGGACCAAGGAGGCCAAGGAGTCCACAGAAGCCGAGAAGCCGAAGGAGCCCGCGACGTCAGAAGAGCCGGCGAAATCAGAGGAGCCGGCCAAGTCTGAGGAACCCGCCAAGGTAGAAACTCTCGCGGCGAACATGGCTGGCGAGAGCATCCTCGAGGCCAAGGTGGAGGAGAAGGACGACACCAAGGAGATCGAGCCGGTGGAAGTCAAGGACGAGGTCAAGTCCTAGGGTGGCCATGGTATGTCTTGTGCATGATCTACCGGTGGAATACCTAATCTATTTGGGCTATCGAGACGCTTGGATCTGGGTTTATCGGTCCTGTAAGATGTATCGGTCTGCACATGGCATATACCAATCGAAGGTGTAATTCTCCTCGGTTGGCTTCTATAATGGAAGACTGTTTATATACCTCGGTGGTTGGTTGAATGTATGTGGTCATTCATGACATAGTAAATAGTACAATGAGATGCGGATGTGTACTCAAGACAGTACCAGGCAAAGGACATGTATAATACAAAGAGGTCAACTTATGATGCTCTCCAAAGGCCTTCATCTCCCACCCCACGGCCTCTTCTCCTGGTCAGCGCCAGCCCTCTCCCGCTCCAACAACCGATCAAACTCGCGCTGCGCCTGCTCCTTCGCAAGACTCTTCTCCTCATCAGCCCTGGAAAAAGAGTAGCTGTCGCGAGAGCCGCTTTGCATGCCAGAATCAGCTTCCGCAGCCCATCCGCCTCCGGACTGGGGCTTCTCCCACGTCTGCCGGCCCTGCTGGGAAGGGGGCTGGAATTGCGCCTGTTGGCGGATGCGGTCCCACGCCGAGCCTGCGCTGCCTGATGATGAATCTGAGGTGCTTCTTGCGGAGGGGGCGAGGGGGGAGGCGTCGTCAAAGTCGTCTCCTACAGGAGCATCCCATGAAGCCGAGGGCTGTGAGGGCTGTGATGATGATGATGCCGTGGGGCTGCGCCATGAGGCCCAGGAGGACTGTGCCGGAGTGCTCTGGCTTTGTTGCCCAAGCTCCCTGTACTGGCTCGCGCTCTCCTGCTGCGCCTCCGACTCCCAAGCGTCGCTGGTCTGCTCGCGGTTCTCCTGACTGCCTCCTCCTCCTCCTCCTCCAAACAGCGTTGCGCCCTGAGACTTGCCGTCATGCAACAGCGACCGCAGCCTAGGATCCTGCTCCATGGCCGCGCGCTGCCGCATGAAGTTTGCGCCCTGGAAAACGGGCTCGCCGAGAACCCAGATCGTGCCGTAGTAGGCGGCGAAGCGGGCGCTATGCCACATGAACTTGACGCCGGGCGTGCCGCCAATGGGGCTGAAGCGCTTGAACTCGGGCGTGAAGAAGGGGAAGCGCCAGGTCCTGCGGCCGCGATACGCCAGGTACGCGGCGAAGCCGGTCATGGCCCACTTCCAGGCCAGCAGGTTGTGCACGCTGGAGAGGAAGTGCTCGGTGAGGGCCTGCGTCTCCGAGTCGGCAAAGGGCCGGTTGTTGACGGCGGCGAGGGACAGGACGGTGGACTCGGCGAGGGCCAGCGTCTGGGCGCGGCCGAAGCCGCGGAGGCGCGCGTAGAGGGGCGCCTCGTAGTCCTGGAAGAGGCGGTGGATCTGCTCGTGGATCTGCGGCTCGAACTGCTGGCGGTTGGTGATGGCGCGCTGGCGGCGCTCTTCCATGGCGGCGCGGGCGGTGCGGATGTATTCGCTGCGGCTCATGGTTTTGGGGTCGGGCGGTTTGGGGCCGCCGTCGCCGGGGCTGTTGCTGCTGCTGCTTGAGCTGTCCATCTTGGTTGCGGTTGTTTCACTGAAGGATTAGAGGGTATCTCATTGAAGAAGAACGATGAGAAAGTATGGGAGCAGTTGGAGTTGAGTCGAAGACCCCGCGGAAGCTTGTCTGAGTCGTCGGACCACATTCGATGCCGGTTGAAGCAGCTGTGACGCAAGACAACTGACCAGGACCGGGTAGCTTTATCGATAGGGTGCCCCACGTGATCCTGCATACCCGGTTGTTGCAGCAATTGGCGGGGCGCGACGCGTTTCCATCGGCGCGTGTCAACACTCTGCCCTTGTTTAAGGCGTAAATTAAGCGTTACATATCACCAACAGAGTCCTCGCAACAGCATCCAAAGTCTGACAGACGGTGTTTTTTTTTTTTTTGGCTGATTGATGGCGTTCAATGTCAGGCTCCTAGACACTGCCATTGCCCGTCATGCCGCTCCAGAAGTCGTATTCTGAGCGCATTGGGCTGCCGAGGGTATGTTTTGTTTACTTTCGGTCTGTTGTGAACATGGCAAAAACTGACATTTACATGTGCAGCAGCAACGCTCGCCGTGGCAGCGGTCTCACAGCCACCCGAACAACCTGCAGGCGCCCAACTCGAAGAACCTGATTCCCATCTCCGAGGTCACGAAGAAGAAGCTCAACAAGTTTCTCTACCAGGGCTCCAAGGATGAGGCTGCGGCAAACGAAGGCGGCGGCGGTGCGGCATCGGCGTCCAACAATTCGGAGACGCCCTCGCATCTGAGGATGATTGGCAACAGCGCCACCCCTGTGACGAGGCTGAACTGGAGTGACCTTCTCGAGCCGTGCAGCCAGGCCGAGGAAGACACCAGCATCTCGCCGAATGAAAAGCTGCTGTGGAACAACAAGCAGGACCCCAATGCGTTTGCGACCATTTCGCCGATGATGCCTCGCAAAGGCAGGAAACGAGCAAGGAGCTCTTCGCCCGTCTCATCGCCGCCCGCCGAGAGAATCACGACCCCGACTGTGAACGTCAAGAAGCTGGCCAAGGCGTTGAAGCTGCCGCATCCGGACCCGACGCTGGAGCTGTGGGATCGCTATTCGATGAACGGGCCCGAGGGACAGTCCGCCGTGTCTGGCATGACGAATCCTATCCTGGCCCACTTGATGGTGTCCTCGTCTCCGCGACCTTCGAAGAACCAAACTGCGCAGGTGGACAAGGAGAACTTGCGCCGAGCTGCTAGCTGTGGGTTCAACTGGACCAAGAGGAGGAGGGTGGAGAAGTCGAGGTCTGGCAGTCAGAGCAGCTCTGGTCAGCGAGAGCTGGAGGCTGCATCCAAATCGTCTCTCGTCACAGCGCTGCTGGATTCGGTCACGAGTAGTATTCACGACCAGACCCAGGACGACGACGGTGATACTGGAGCTATGGATTCGCCATCTCTTAAGAAGAGGCATATTGCACCTCAGAGCAGCATCAACACCCCGTCTCGAACTTCAAAGCGCCGAATCCCAAGTCCCACCGCTTCGGACTACGGCGATGACGACGATTTGGACGATGAGTTCTTGATGCTCGAGGAGACTTTGCAATTAACGCAGGCGTCCCAGGCGTCTCAGGGGGCAGAACCTGCTGCACCTGCCAAGAAAAGCCCAGAAAAGGCAAGAAAGCAGCCACCAGGAAAGCTGCCCGTTATTGATGAGTTTGACGACTTTGACGACGATGTCTTTGATGGTGCGGATGATATACTGGCAGAGTTGGAATCCAAGTCCCAAGTGCCGGTGACAAAGATGACGACTCCAAGAGCGAAAAGATCATCTCCCAGGAAGAAGACTCCCAAGGAGCTGGCCGACATGGAAGACGAGTTCGATGACGACGCCTTTGACGGGGACGTCGACTTTGAGGCGGTTGAGTTCGCCGCGACTCAGGCGGTCCAGCAGCGAAACTCTGCCTCTGCAGCTGTATGTGAGGAAGCCGTCCGGAAAGAAAACATGCTAAGCGTAGGCCAGAACAAAAAAAAGATCAAGACCATTCAGCGATATTTAGTAACCAGTGTCTTAGACGGTGACTACGTCGATCAATACAACCGTATCTGTCCTGAAAAGGTATGCCCTGGAATCCCACCAGCTTATGCGCCGGTACTGACTTGACCAGATCTTGTTAATCCAGGCGGATGGCTCCAAGGCCACAAGGACGGTGCAGCTGCGAGGCTCCTGGTTTGATACGCCAGCGCATCCTGGTGCCTACGTCCACGTCATCGGGGAGTTCTCACTGAAGGGACAGTGCATTGTGGATGATGCTGAGAATCTTTTGATCCTGCATCCCGACCAGCTGATCTCTGCAACTGTCGTCGCCGATTCTTTTGGCTGCATGCGGAGAGCTGTCCTCCAGGATCGAGTCAAGGCCACCAGCGAGGCTTCGCCCCCTTTGGTCTACGGAACGATGCTCCATGAAATCTTCCAGGAAGCGCTGCTTGCCAACGACTTTGACCTCCCTTTTCTCTCCAAGCTGATTGACAAGAACATTGAGAAGCATATTGAAGATCTGTATACTATCAAAGTTGGTATTGCGGCGGCGAAGGAACACCTCCAGTCAAAGATGACGGAGCTGAGTTACTGGGCCAGAAGTTTTGTTGCCTCTCAACCACAGGTGAGACAACAAAGTATGCTCTGCGTGTGATAGTGCTAATATTCGTCCCAGGCCGATGCTATCGTGGAAGGGAGAAACGGCGACAAGGCGACTATAGCCGTCAGAAAGCTGCTCGACGTGGAGGAGCACGTCTGGTCGCCCATGTACGGGCTCAAGGGAAATATTGACGCAACTGTCGAAGTCGCAATGACGGATGGCAAGCAGACTCAGGTGTTGACGGTACCATTCGAAGTCAAAACTGGCAAGCATGCCAACAGCAACCACATGGCGCAGACGGCTCTCTATACCCTCCTATTGTCTGACCGGTACGACATTGATATCGCCTATGGCATCTTATACTACATGGAGACGTCCAAGACGATGCGGATTCCTGCCATTCGACATGAGCTCCGCCACATGGTTATGCAGAGAAATCAGCTGGCGTGCTACATTCGAGAGCGGAGTGTCCAGCTACCTCCTATGCTAAAGAACAAGCACATGTGTGGGAAGTGTTATGCCAAAACTTCTTGTTTCATCTACCACCGACTGGCGGACGATGGCAATGGAGAAACGAGCGGCATGAATGAAAAGTTTGACCAAGTCATCAAGCACCTAACGCCAAAGCATCAGGAATTCTTCATCAAGTGGGAGAACTTGCTGACAAAGGAAGAAAAAGAAGGACAGAAGACCAAGAGGGAGCTGTGGACGATGACGAGCGCTGAGCGCGAGAAGAAATCTCGCTGCTTCTCCGACGTCATCATTGAGGAAGGGTCCGCGTCGGTTGATGAAGACAACCCTCGGATCAATCGATATCACTACACCTTTGTCAAACGCGAGCCACCACCCAATTTTACATTTATTGGATCGGAGTTGACGGTTGGCGAGCCCATCGTTGTATCCGATGAAGAAGGACACTATGCCCTGGCCATTGGCTACGTTACTTCTGTTCGAAAGCAGAGAATCAGCGTTGCCGTGGACCGACGACTGCACAACGCCCGGATTCGACAGCCCGGGTTTGACGAAACCAACAACCAGGTGTTTGCCAGTATTATGGAAGTTGCACCAGAGGGGGCATCCGTTGATCAGAGTCAAGGGAAGCTCAAGGAGCAGCCCATTCGCTACCGGCTGGACCAGGACGAGTTCAGCAATGGCATGGCCACTGTGAGAAACAACCTGATCCAGATGATGGCGAATGACGTGCCGGCTGCGGTGCAGATTCGCAACTTGATAGTCGACTTGGTGCCTCCCCGATTCAAGACGGTAGCATCACAGTACACCGTCACAGATGGGGAGAGCCTGAACGTCGATCAGCAGCGAGCCATCGAAAAGGTAATGAGCGCGCAGGACTATGCCCTGGTGCTGGGAATGCCCGGCACTGGCAAGACAACCACCATTGCGCACATTATCAAGGCTCTCATCTCGCAGAAGAAGACGGTGTTGCTGACGTCCCATACGCACACCGCTGTCGACAATATCCTCCTCAAGCTCAGGTCGGATAAGATTCCCATTCTGCGGCTCGGTGCTCCTGCAAAGGTGCATCCAGAAGTGCAAGACTTTGTCCATCTCGCGGGTCAGCCAAAGAAGACGTTTGAGGAGATCAAGGAAGCTTGGCATGGCACCCCGATCGTCGCCACGACCTGCTTGGGAATCAATCATCAAGTCTTTTTGGAGCGGTCGTTTGACTACTGCATTGTTGATGAGGCGTCGCAGATTACCCTGCCTATTTGCGCCGGACCAATTCGACTGGCAAAGACGTTTGTTCTCGTTGGGGATCATAACCAATTGCCTCCGGTGGTGAGGAATGAGGAGGCTAGGGAGGGCGGCTTGGACGTCAGCCTCTTCAAGCTATTGTCGGACACGCACCCACAGTCCGTCGTCAATCTGGAACACCAGTATCGTATGTGCGAGGACATTATGACCCTGAGCAATACCCTCATCTACAACGGCAGACTCCGCTGTGGCACGGAGTCTTTGCGCAAGAAGAAGCTTCACGTTCCCAGCATGGAAGCCCTCAGACAGCACCACCACGACGCCACGACCATACAGCGTTCTGCGGCAACTCGCTCGTTCTGTACTGGACCCAGTCCGTCGCGATGCTGGCTCTACGATCTCCTGGATGGTGAAGCTCGTGTCCGCTTTGTTGACACCGACACGCTACGCCCTCTGGTCCGAGAAGAAGCTCAGGGCAAGCGCATCATCAACCCAGCAGAAGGGCAGATCGTCTCGCAGCTTGTCCAGAGCTTTCTCAGCGCAGGCGTCCCCGCAACCGAAATTGGCGTCATGACACACTACCGCGCGCAGCTGCATCTCCTGAAGGACAGGCTCAAGCACTTCCCCGGCGTGGAGATGCACACGACGGATCGCTTCCAAGGACGGGACAAGGAAGTCATCGTGCTCAGCCTGGTGCGCAGCAACGAGGCGTGCAACATCGGAGACTTGCTCAAGGACTGGCGCCGCATCAACGTGGCGTTTACCCGCGCCAAGACGAAGCTCCTCGTCGTGGGCAGCATGGGCACGCTCAAGGGGAGCGGAGACGAGAACATGCTGAGCAAGTTCATTTCTCTGATGGACGAGCGCGACTGGATCTATCACCTGCCGGAGGATGCGCTGCAGAGCCACTGTTTCGATGACTTGAGCACGCAGCTTACTGGCGCGACGACGCAGCGGACGCCGAGGAGGAACTCGTCGCCGCCGAAGTCCAAGGCGTTTGCGACGACGACGAAGATGAGTCCCATCTCGTACGGAGACAAGGAGAATCGGAGGCCGTCGCCGAGGAGGGCGGGGAGGGGGGAGGGGATGATGCTCAAGGGGAAGCCGATTACGAGGGATATATTGAACGAGATGACGAATGGCGCATATTGATAGCCTTTCCTTTTTTTCTTGAGGGAGGTTTGACTTTTGTTTATGGAACTGGGGGGCTCGATGATGGGATTGTTTCTTTTTTTTTGTTTTCTGGGGGGCGTGGTTGATTATGGGTTGGGATATTGCAACGCTAAGGATAAGTTACATTGTTCAGGGTATGCTAAGGATTTGAGAATAGAAGCTTTTTGCGCTTGATTACGTCTATTCTTGGTGATCTTGATCTGTTCTCTCATGGTTGTCTGCGTGGCTATTGTTTTCATGTGCTTCGTCGTCATCATCGCTGTCGCTGTCATCTTGATATGCCTCTCTGACCCTCCACTCATCGTCAAACCTATCACACAAACAAAGTCAACCTCATTATCCAAGCACACAACAAAAAAAAAAAAAGAAGGAGAGGCAAATGTAACAGGTACTTACCCCTGCTCCCCAACAATCAGCTTCGTAAACCTCTCCAGCTCCTCCAGCTGGGCGACGCAGCCCGTGAGGCTCTCGTTGTACGAGTAGCTGTAGATGTCGCTCCACTTCTTGTGCCATCTGCGGGCGGCGTCTTCGTCCGGGTCGCCATCTTGTTGGTGGGCGTGCTGGGCGAGTTCGTCTTCGAGGGCGGCTGTTTCGAGGAGGAGTTTGCGGCGGGCGGCGGCGGCGCTGGGGAGGTATTTCTGTGTTTTTACACATTACACGCATTAGTTGAGTGAACAGCCCTTGGGGATTCGGGGTAGGCTAGAGACTGATGTGGCGTGTAGAGTGAGGAGAAAGGTGGGGAGAAGTAGCGTACGGGAACTTTTCTGTCTGCTCTGAGAGCTCCTGCAAAGATGTATAGGTTCGCTAGGATGGAGGCTACGGCGTCTCTCCTGAAGCCGAGCAGTCGCTGCGCGGCGAGGGGCTCGTCGCGGATGTAGTCTGGGTTGTACAGGACGGCGGACTGGCGCACGGCGATGAGGTAGTCGAAGAAGCGCTCGGAGGAGTCGGCGAGGCCGGAGTAGGGGAGAGGGTTGAAGGGGCCGCGGAGGCGGATCTCGTGGCGTGTCATTACCTGTTGGCGAGGTTTCTAAGTGTTAGGCTTTCGTTTGTATGTTCAGCGGGGGGAGGGGGTTGAGTACGAGGAGTTGTCGGATGCGGACGAAGCCTTCTCTGATGCGGCCTTCGAGGATTTCGGATTTTTCAATGTCCTCGGGAGTGGGCTCTTTGCCTTGTTCAAAGTAGATGTACTTCGCTACGACGTCTGTGAAAGTTTTCAGTATATGAGTGGAAGGGGGGTTAGTATTTCAGAACAAGGACGGCTAGGGGTGCTTACTGCGGTAGATGATGCTCAAGAAGAAGAGCATTGAAGACAGCGACTTCCTAAGCTCGTGTCTTGCAACAAAGGGCCACAGACACCAGTTGACAAGGATGGGCGCGGTTGTGCCGACAAGGAAGACGACGCCTCGGAGGACGGCGGTGATGGCTGGTGTGGAGGGCAGGTCGCCGGCTTGGAGTTGCAGGGAGACGACTGTGAACGACAGGCAGCCTACGAGGCCGGATCTCTGAGGTGATTATGCAACTTGTCAGTATAATTCCATGCTTGTCGGTGCTTTCGGAGAGAGGGAAGCGGAGATGGTTTGCCTTACCGGATGAGAGCTCTGCGAAAAGCGATACAGCATGGGCACCATGAAGATGGCTGCAAAGACTGCGACTACATACGGGCTTCCGTCGCCCGCGGAATGGGCGAGGCCACCCCATACGGCACCTAGAACCGCTAATACAGCTCTGGCGACCAAGTCTTGCACGTTTCCTCCTACGCGGGCATGGATCAGGAGCCAGCTCATGGTGACAGCCCACCAGGCTTCGTAGTCGTCCCACCAGACTTTGTCCCTGTGGAGGTACGATGGGATCGAAAGGAGAGATGTGACGAGAACGGCTTTGAAGGCGTATCGGCCCTCGTAACCTTGAAGGAGGTGCAAGACTTGCCAGATTCTGTAGCCGAGACTGTTCTTTTTGGTGTCCATGTCAGGTTCTGCCCCTGGATCGGTGAGATGGGTCAACTCTGCGTGCAGCTCTGTTTCAGAGATGTTGTCCTCGTCATTGTCCTCGGGCTTGTATTCTCTTGACTTGATCGACTCCAATGCACGCGCAATCTCGAGAAATGTGACGTGGTAGGATGAGGCCGTGGCACCGCCTCGGTCGTGCATCACTTGGCTGTTGACGCAATGGACGGCTTTGCTCCAGGGATACGATGGCAAGTGAGGTCGTGGCCAGTTGGAGACCTGCTGCATGGCGTATACTTTGCCCATGAGATTCTCCACCGTCGTTGCGGTTTCGCGGAGATGTCTCGCAAAGATGAACAGCTGGACGACGGCCGAGTCGTTCATCGATGCTGGGGGCAGTTGGCCTGACTCAAGGAGCTCAGACTCGACCCTGTCAAAGACTGTTTTGGCAGCCTTCATGCGGATTTGGACAGGGGCGATGTCGGACGAAATGGTCATTGGAGGCCCTAGATATTGTCGGTAGCCTGACAGGTCCATCAGTGCGGCTTGGCTCGCCTGCAGCCCTAGGTTCATGCATGCGAGGAGCTCCTTAGTGGGTTTTGCCAGTTTGCCAATCACAGTTCGGGTGACTTCCTTCTCTTCCACAGCACCAGGAGCCTTTTCAATCATGTTGTCAAGGTTCTGTGCGCTGGAAGCCGGGGAAGATATCTCGGCGGCTTCGACCACGACAGGGGCATGCCCGTCTTCGGCCTCGCTCACAAGGGCGCTTTCTGTCTCCATGGCCAGCATACAGCGAATGACGGCTTGCATGAGATTTCGCAGCTCCCTCACATCGTCTGGCTTGAAGCGTGTGATGGTGAGGCTGGTTCGCATATCGCGGTGGGCGGTGGAGAGGTCCACGAAGGAGCGAACTAGATTCCGCCTGAGCCTGGTGTCTCGGGGGCGTGGAATCACAATGGCATCCTATTGCATCTCGGTCAGATTGAGGAGATGAGGAAGGGTTTTGGAGACAAAGGGTGAAACGAACCAGCATGAGCGAGAAAGACTGATGAAAAGCAATGGCAAGTGGCCTCGCACCGGCATCAGGGAAGACGGTGCAGTTGACAACTAGTGCAAGGGCCTGGCCCAGAAGCCATGGAACGGCATAGTTTCTCAGCTTTTCCCATACGATAATATCGCCTTGAGTTTGGGCTAACAAGGTAAAGATGATTGCTACACCAGCGCACACCACCATTTGGTAGAATCTTGTGTAGTATGAACGTACCCATGCCACGACTGCCATGAACAAAGCCAGGAAAAGAGCCAGAACTCCGCCATAGCCAGCACTGGCAGCAGAGGTGGAGGTAGACAGTAAAAGACCAACAGCTCCCCAGCCAATCCCAGCGGCCGTACCAATAGAGGTGAAAACGGCACCCTCAAGTTGGGCACCAAGAGTCCGGGCCGGGTGGTTCAAGATGACGGAGACGGCGATGATGTAGTGATATCGGCCAAGCCATTCCCGGACGGCTGGGATCAGACACATAATGTACGCTGCGAAATAGGCGGTAAAGGACCTGAGAAGGCGAAGGCCAGCACGAGTGGTGGCGACATTGCGAACCACGAACTTGACCGCATCAATCTGTCTCGGTATAAACCGACGAGCCGCCAGAGGAGAATCCTTATCAAAGGCCGCGGGCAACGAGGCCCTGGAGCGTTCAACGAAGCCTTCGGGTACCAGCCGCGTACCTTGGATGAACGAGGCGTCGAAGAATCCATCTCGCTCCTCTACCACGCCAAAGGTGTCAGCGTCGACGTGGTCATCAGGAAGGATCTCGTCTATCGGAGCGATGAACGAGCTGCGTCTGCTGCCGTATTCAGACTGCGGCGCCGAGGTGGTCGTTGTTCTGAGCGGCGGATTTTGAGCGAGGAAGCGAAGCCTGGTGGAAGTTGGACGAGAGAGCGGCTGAGACTCGTTTTCAACATGTTCATTGCTTGTGAGATGAGCGGGATCTTGATGGGCGTTATCAAGATCTGAGGAGCTGCCGCCCGACATGGCGCGATGATGCTAAGATGCCGTGCTCTGGAGATCTGGCAGCTGGATTCATGAGGCCAAGATCTAGTGCATATATGTCTCAAAGAATAGGCCAAGTCTCATTTGCGAGTGATATCGGGGTCTGAATTTGCAAACTCGGCGTCTCATATGCAGAAGAGAATCATCGTCGGCGTTCGGCATCTGCGCCATAGGGCTTCTGCTGATGATGGGCCACGAGCCGCGATTTGTCAATTCGCTCTGGGACAACGCGCCTTGAACAGTTGATCAATCGAAGACAAGACACGCAACAGCAGGCAACGTCTGGCGGAATTGCTGATTCAATTGGAGTTGCTCTGGTTGTGATGATGATGATGACGATGACATGGAGGTGAGTCGAACCAAATGGAGGCGCTCAGAGCCTTTCCCTTTTGGGGCGACGGTTGGTTATTGTTAGTGCTCTCATGACAACGTCGGCCAACCACCAACAGCTCTGGGGAGCAGCGACATGTCAGTTCTATTTGGCTAAAGACTGAACCTCGGCGATTGTCTTGCCATATCCTACTCTAGCAAGGCATTCAGACGACAAGCATTCAACCAGAGGGTCCCATTGCATCTTCATCGTCCTTGCATCTCATCACCAGCTTCGACACTTTTCACCAACCAAAATAACAGCCGTATCGTGAGCAGCAACAGCCGCCTTGTAGGAACTGAGGCATCCAAGGCTCCTGTCGGTCCACACATCTCGAACTTCATACCGTCCCGCAGACAGCCCCGGAATCTCAGACCACTTGGCCTCCTTTGTGACCGTATGGTCCAGCGTGTTCATCATCAACACCAGATGCCCCTTTGACGACGGACCGGCCCAGTACTCGGCGGGATTTGTATAGTTAAAGGTCCAGTCCGGGTTGACTCCCCACTTGTACGGGGTAGCAGGCTGACCGTAAACGCTGTCCTGGTTGAACGCCAGCAAATGCTTGTTCTTGAGCAACTCAATGTTCTCCTGCGAAAGCTGGGTGAGATCCGTCCCGATGAGAAGCGGCGACTTCATAGCCGCCCACAGCGCGAAATGCGTGCGCGTCTCAGCAGCCGTCAGGTTACCGTTGCCAACCTCGAGCATGTCCGCATCGTTGTGGCCCCAGAAGCCGACGGAATTCATCTTGAACGAGTTTATGTTGATAATGTGCGTCACGGAGGCCCATTCAGGCGAAATGTCGCCGCTCATGCGCCAGCTGATGCCCGTCTCGTTGCCCCACGAGAAGACGTCGGCGTCGCCCCAAATGCACAAGTTGAGCACGATCTCGCGGCTCTGCTTCGCCAGGGCGTCTCGCATGGCGTTGAAGCGCTCGGCGGACTTGGACGTGCTCCAGTCGTAGCCCGGGGGAGCGAGATTTGGCTCGAGGGCGGTTGAGCAGGTGCCGTTGGGGCCGGTTTGGACGGCGTCGGGAGCGCAGGCGACGTATTCATCTTGCCACTCTGTAGGGACGTTGCAGTTGTCGCTTGAAAAGTCATCTGTTAGCCAGGGGTGGTTCTTCATTCCAGGGGGGAGCGAGAGAAGATGTCTCAACTCACTATTTCAGATCTAGACAAGTCAGCGCGATGAGCTTTGCTATATCCCTCAGTTGCCAATATGCACTTACAGTCTACGCCCCAGTCGGCAAAATCGGCGGCATCGACGTCCTCGTATCCAAGACTGGCAGGATAACCAGCACAAGTCGCGGTTCCAGCAGCTATGCATCGTCAATATTGCCGTCGACCCCGTGTTCAAGAGTAGATCAAAGTGGTCTTACTGCTGTAAATGCCTAGCTTTAAGCCCAGGTCGTGGACTTTCTTCGCCAGCCCATCGATACCATCGGGGAAACGGGTCGTATTAGGTGCGATATGTCCATTCACGCGTCCATCCTTTAACGACCAGCAATCATCAACTGACAGCAGATCAATGACTGTTTTTGGTGATGCGGATCGTTGCTTGTCGACTTACTGTTGACATACTCGTACCCTGCGTCAAGAAGACCAGAGCTCACAATCACTTCGGCGGCCGAGAGGAACTTGCTTTCGTCAATGTCGCAGTGGTAGGCATTCCACGAGTTCCAGCCCAGACTTGGGACTTTTCCCTGATATCGTCTCTATCTCAGTATATTTGGTATTTGGCCAAAGGGGACGGATTGAATCTCACAGTGATTCCATCGGGCATCACGATTGCGTGTGCTGTGGAGAGAAGAAGAGCAAGGCCCGTCCAGACGGAAGGCTTCGCGCCTCGGCCAATTGGTTGCGGCACCATTCTGTTCCGGTTATAGAGGTAGTTCGATGACCAACAATGTCGAAAGCATCCGTTTGCGATTGGCGATGATGTGAAGTGCTGCTCGTTCGAGAGAGCTTCTCTTGTTGCCACTCGATAGCCCCCCTGCTGTGAGCCCAAGTAACCACGATTCCGAGTAACGCCCCAGATGTCTTTGGGGACCATCACTCGCATTTATACTCGTTTCACAAATTACCCGATTCGAAGACCAGAAAATGTGCCTGCGGGGGAGCGAGGAGGGGCTTGTGTTACAACCCGAATTACCCCAGGATTTCCATTACCATGTACCATTATGGATCTATGTACTATCAGGTACAGGATGGCTCAAGGCTCGTTGATGCCAGATCAGCATGCTCAAAGCAAAAGTTCTTGCCTTACATTCGACTACGTAGGTCCGTACGGGAGTAAAACTCGGACAAGAAAAGGATGAAAAGCCGGAGAATACCATGCTGAAGCGCACCAACAGGAATGAAGCAACACAATATCCACACATCGAGTAAGGCAGGGAAACTGCAGCATTGGAGCCGCGTAAGGTCGGTTGTATTCGTAGCGTAATATTCTGTGTCTTGTGTCCAACTGGCGATGTTCCGCGGTGTCATTGTTGGAGGAGGATGCTCCACCCCCGCATAAAGGAGCCGCGCGTGAACGGCAAATGGCCATGCGGCTATGTCGAATTTGGGAGGCATCTGACGATCTGTATGCCGGGCCAGCAAACACCAGCCTTACTTCCAGATTTCCTATTCGTGGGATGGAAGAGGCTCGTATCGGGTCCCTGTTGCTGCATTCCGGCATCCGCGCAGTCCTCTGCAAAAGGCCGGACCCGACGGCAAATAAATTCATGTGTAGGGCGTCGTCTTCCGAAAGGTCGAGAGCATGTGATCTGGAGACCTACATATGTATGCTCCTTTGAGCCGACTTTATGTTCAGCTTTGAAGGCTTCAATTTTCCATTCACATTGTTAGTTGCAAAGCGTACGCTTTCTCAAGCCTCCTGGTAGACCCGGTTGACCAACTCCCAGCCAGCGTCTTGGTCATATGCCCTTCAAGGTCATTGAGAATAAGAGATTTAAGCCGGGTAACATCAGTGGTGCAATCGCTTTAACAGCGAGGTGAGAGAGAAGGCTAGATAATGGAGAAGGCCGATGAGCAGGTATTCCAAGTATAGGAGGAGAAACCGACGTCTCCAAGATGCGTTAGGTAACCAGATGGAACAATGTATTATCATTTTGTCTTTCCTTCGCTAAAAGCCAATCAGATGAACAGGGTATATACAAAACACTCATGCTAACCACGACACCACGACTCAGTATCGATGCCTCGTGCTGTAATCCTTCGGGCTGACCACCAGACCTCTGCCCTTCTTCGCTCCCCGGTAAATCGTCTCAATGATGTCAATGAGCTCCTGCTTGTCCTCCAGCACCCAGTTGAGCTTGTTGTTGTTACCGGTGCCGAAATCGCACATCATGTGCTTGTTGCGGAAGAAGAAGAGGATAGAGCAAGGGTCGTAGAGCTCGTACATGGCGTTGAAATCAGGGACCTGCAGCCTGGTTAAAAAAAGGCCCAGTCAAGGCCACTTGGAATGAGATGAAACCTACCTGGTCAATGTCGCAGAGGTAAATGACGGCAAAGTTCTTGACGCGATCAGCTATTTTGTAGAGAACTTCATCTTGCAACATGCAGTCCTGCTTGCTGTTAGCTTGAGGGAGCGAGGGGTGAGAAAAACGGAGGGTCTCTCTTACTCGGTCGTGATCACGTCCAAACCGGATGACGACAAGACGATCCTCCTCTATAGAACATACCTAGTAGTCAGCACTCAATCGTCCATGTTGAAGGCTTTCATACATGCTTTCTCACCTGATAAGATGGCCTGGTCGACATGCCAGCCCGAGTTGAGATGCGGCAAAACGACGGAACCCATTGTGAGATGTTGGTGTATTTGATAAATTGGTGATAATGTTTGTCTTCATCACAGAAGGAGCATTTGCCTTCATGGAATCCGGGAGAATATCGGCTCCAGGTGTCCGTGCCGCGTGGCTTTATCTCCGTGTGGCGCATCCACAGTAAGTATTCACAGTGCCCTCTCCTCAATCACTTCCTCTTTGCACGCAAGCTGAACCAACTAACCTGGAGACACTGATTGAGGCAAAGAAACGTCAAAAGGACCATGTATGTGAAGTGGCCGAATCAGTATTTTAATATCTCTATCTAAAAATACAATAGAAGGTAATGAAAAAAAAAAAAAAATACTTCTGGAAAACGACTCTATTGCGACAGTTGAGCGACACACTCCGGCGCAACGGTGCTCAGAGTCGTGACAGGGTTCAATAAATTCAAAGGATTGACAAAGATATCGTTATCAGCAACCTGCCAGAACAAATCAACCAGGCCATCGTCATTGAATCTGAAAAACCGCATGCCTCGAGACCGATACTGAAGCCCATTGGGAGCAATCTCCGTGCCGTTGACCATCGTAAAGGTGCCGTTACGCGTGCCCTGGAAGATGTATTCGGTGGCAGCCCAGTTGCCCTGAGCAATCACAAACTCGTCGTGGAGGAGCAGGTCTGGCACGGAGGTGTTGTATCGTGTGAAGAGGTGAACGAGCGAGGCACGGCCTGTTGCATTGCGGCCATCGGAAACAACGGTGACATCGTCCGTGGCGAGGAGACCGTTGGCGGAAGCGTTTCCGCTGTTGAAGTTGGTGACGAACTGCGCGGCCTTCTCCTTGATTTTGAAGGTAAAGTCGGAGGACTTGTTGGCAATGGGGTTGAGAACAATGTCTTGGAGAGGCGGTGCGGTGACCTGGCCGGCATTCTGCGCGGCCGTGAGTCCGCCCTCGCTGATGCTGACGATGCGCGTCAACAGAGGCTCCTTGTCGAATAGCATCGTCTCGGCCAGGGACGTCTCGATGTGAGCGTCAGAGCTGTTTGAGGTGATTCTGCTGTCACTCAGGAGCATGGCGATGTTGCCCTCGACAATGATGACTCGATCGAGAAACTGGGCTCGAAGGCCCCCAGAGGGATCGAAAGCCAGGGCCTGGACGAAAGCCGCTCTTCCCAGGCCTGTCGTTCCGCCAAAGTAGAGGTCGACGTCGGGAACGACTAGCTGGCCGTTGGCTTGGACTCCCGCCGCAGTGTTCAAGCTGAAGTTTGGGTGGAAGGACGCGGACCGGTTGTACACCTCGGCTTGGTAACCCTCGGTGAAGACGAGGCCCGGGACGCCGACTGGTACTTCGAGGGTCGCGCTGTGGCCCAACAGGGCCAGCACGTAGGCGAGAACAGAGCGCATGTTGCAAGTATTTGACTCGAAGGTGTCGGCTTTCAGATTCGGGAGAGGTTGTTGAATGGAGCTGTACACTGGTTGTTGTCGTCGACACAGATGAAATCCAGAGCAACAAGTACATGTAAGCCCGATATATGGGCAATTTATTGGTCCTCACATCTTGTAAACAAAGCATCACGCGCAGGTGCTTCAATTTGATAGTATTCCTAAACGATCGTCACTTTGTCGTTTTTGATGTGGAATCATGGCATCAGGCATAATCACTAGAACCACTTGGTGCGCCAAGCCTCCCCCTGAGATGGATTCCGTGAGACGGAAATTTCGGAATCAAATTGTAGATCAAATATTCCACCAAGAAACCTGCAATCACTGGCTATTATTGGTCTACCATGCATTGGATCCGGGGCAATACAGGCAGGGAACAGGAAGATGCTGTACCCGATGTACACGTATGTAAGATCCAGCCCGGCCCCGTATCCTGTATGGGGACGCGCTAATGGGACTGAGACAGGAGATTGCATAGAATAGGGCTGAACAGCGCATGGGTTGATATTGGTCATGTATTATTCATCGTTGACAGCGGTCTGATGCTTTGCCGGTTGCTGAGTTCTGTCGAGCTTGGCCTCATCGCGTAGGTAGGTAGCCCCAAGATCAAAGTCTAATTCAAGCTTATGGCTTCTCGGAAGCTTTTTGTCGTCTTGAAGCCTTATGGGGCGAGAGAGATCCGAATATTGCGAATGTCAAGGATCCATTTACATGGTCTATGGGGCAGGTGTTCGCCGGCTCATGTGTAAGATGAACTTATACTCAGTATTGGTGGGATCGAGCTATCCATGCGTGTTTCAAGGCTAGGATGCGGCTGTCCTGGCGCAATGTTGATCATTCAATGTGATTGCAACGTGGTTATTACACATATACAGCGGCTAGGTGGTGAGATCGGTGCATATTGGAACACGGACAGTGATACAACAGCCAGATAGCGGCTTATCGATCAGGATGTCTGGTGGTTATCGCAAGCTGGACTCGACTACCTATCCTTCGCCCAGCAGACTGCCCCTGCACTTTTTATATTGCTCTACATGGATTCATATCCGTATACCTGTGTACCTAAGCTTGGTTGAGAGGCGCATGGCTAACATGATGTGTGTGCGCCACAACGGAGGTAGCCTTTCAACTACATGTAGGCAAGTTGACGTTTATAGATGTTGCTTTGCATGTTGATACGGAAAAGCCACCATTAAATCAAGTGCAATGAGAAGCTTTGATTGACTTGGACATTTTGGTGCAAATAGCAAGAGAATCCCTCCAGCCCCCAATATCATCAAGGTTTGTTCACGGGACGAAGTCCTGCAACAGCCAGAGCAATAAGCGCCATGCCACCTTAAGATGCTATCATCAACACACTCGTGTTGCTATTGAATTAGACGTACTCCAGTATACATAATGAGAGTCTGCATAAGATATGGTGGTATCCAGTGCCTCTACAAGGAGTATCAGCCTAACAAACGTTCCGTTTCATACAAAGTGTCGCAATCGTCCGAGCACGCAATCAGTCGAAGTCACTTCCGTGGACATGGCTACTCTTGAGCAACGCAACAAGGCCATCATCGCCAAGTACTTCAACGAATACTGGGTCAAAGGCAACGTCAGCATCGTAGACGAGCTCTGCTCCGACGACTTTCTCATCAGCTACCCCAACCACGGTCACCATCACGGCAAGGAGGGCGCAAAGAAGATGCTGTCTGAATTCATGGAGGTATTCAACCAAACACCGACAATGGGTGATTGCGTAGGGAAAATAACTGACAGTATGCAAAAAAAAGGCCTTCCCCGACCTGACATTCAGGTCTTACCAGACCCCATTGATTGCCGAGGGCGACTATGTAGCAGCTCAATGGATTGGTGGCGGCACGCACACTGGCCGTGCGTTTGACGATATGCCTGTGGGCAAGCTCGACAAGCCCAACTCTGGCAAGAAGATTCACTTTTCTGGCATCACCATTTTCACGCTCAAGGATGGAAAGATTGTGCGCGAGATTGCGGAGGAAGGGAGTTTGGCTGTTTTGCAGCAGCTGGGACTTGTTCCACAGCCCAATCCTGGCAAGGAGATTGTGTACGATGAGGAGGGCAATCAGGTGTATTGATGCAATGATTCGAGGTGTTGCACGGACACGATATGCCGGAGCCAAAAGGCTGAAATCATGTACCTATAAGGTTGAATCCAGATCCAACTCCTGTGTAACTGCTTTATGGTACCAATTGGGATCCTGAAGCTGTAACTTCCATGTGCTAGGGAACTGAGTGTAAACCTTTCTTAGTCGACAATCCATGTTCTAGTAACTATAATTGCTTTGAGTATGACATATGTGATTGGATGAGCATTTGTCTTAGACGATCACGCACTTGAGCGTCATGCAAAGGGAGCCACGAAATTGACACGACACCCTTGGCCCACTTGGAGATCCAAACCCCCACCTCACTTCAACTCCACGGCCAAACGCGGCAACATTAGGCCTTCATCCAGATCAGGCCTCATCATGTCGAGTGATACATCTCAACTACAGGACGCTCCCCGGGCACCAGTTCTTAAGCGCAAAGGCTTCCAATTCTGCGACGGAGTGTTTAGTATCAATGGCGTCTGTCGTGTTGATGGTCCGCGTCTTTACCAGCTGTTCAATCCGTCAACCCTCGAAGATGAATACGATCAAGACAAAGCCTTTGTAGAGGCTCGGCAACTTTTCAAGAAGTCGTTTTTCGCTGCTCAGTTGAAATATTACGGCATTCCTTTCCAATCATCCCTTCCAAGTGCGAGGCTCTCAGCCTTGCTCAAGGGTGCAGTTCAACTTGGCAAAGTAAGGGCTACCTCACACACCTGCAGTTTCCGACCAGTTGATGACGCGTGCTCTGAGTGATGGAACTTGATTTCTGACAAGCGTTGTAGTGTAATCGCGTGCCTGAGGCTGTCATAGAACTGGAGGCTACACTGCGAGCCGAGTATGCGCCACTGCAGCGGAAATGGCGAGCCGATTGCGCTGCATGGAGCACGGAGAAGAAACAGAGGGAAGACGATGCCTTTGAGAAGTGCAAGACGCCTGGTGAAAGGGCGGCCTGCGATATCAATCGCTTCATGGAAATGTACTTTCTGACGAATGGCAAGCCGGACAAGGTCAAGACCACGACGTTTCTGATGCTGGGGGATTTCAGCGACGACGACACCTTGCGACAAAAGGCGCGTAAAATTCCTGGTCTTGAAGTCTTGACTGGGTCTCCTGCGCTGGGTGGCGAGCTGTGGATCGGGTGGGAGGGTGCCGAGTGGCTTGAGTGGGAGGGAGCATCGGATTCTGTTGACGAGGCTGATGAGCATCATATTGAGGAGGCTGATGAGCATCATGCTGACGGGTATGATGCTGATGAGTATGATGTCGATGAATATCATGATGAGTATGAGGTCTTTAAGGCCGGTCATATTTCCGCTCTCGAACGCGAGGAGTTTGAACGAGAAGAGGAATGGGAGCAACTGCTGGAAACCTACCAGAAATCCGCATCATCAAAGAAGAAGGACGACACAAAGGAGAAACAACCCGACTCATCCAATTCGGACCCGCGCCTAGGATCCTACGTGATCCAATGCCCCAGCATCATGGAGACCTGGTCTGATTTTCCCGACGGACCGAGGTTCACTATGGACGTATTCAGAGGCAAGGGAGATACACTTATTGCGGCCTACTATTTCGGTGTCATAGAGGGAACCATGATCATCTGCGAGTCCGGCGATACGCTTTCTGCCATGATCGATGAAGTCGAGACAGACTCCGAGACCTCTGAAAGCGAGGAAGTCGGCGGTTGGGAAGAGGTTGAAGGCGACGAAGTCGAGGAACCCAAAGGCCCTTCAGTACAACAGTCCACTGGAGGAAAGAAGCGCAAAGCAGGTAAAGTTTCATCGACGAAAGCTATAGCACTCGACAACGCTGCAAAAAGACGCAAGACAACAGCTTCCAAGCCATCCTTCCCTTGTAACCATGAAATCCGTCTTCGCGGTCGCGACACCGGCACCTACGAAATCCTCCCCGATCCTGAACCAGGACACCTCGACATTCTTGGCGACGACTGCGCGAAGATCGAGGGAGTGATATACAAGCATACGCTTGTTGGCAACGACGTCAGATTCGAGGGCCGCAAGGTATCGGACACACCGCAGAGAGAGCCCGAGCCCTGGAAGGAGCTTGGATATAAAGCCCACAGGCGTGAAGAGGTTGCGAGATGGTAGCAATGGCACCTCTTATGGATTTCTAGGTTGTTTGGTTCCTCTTTTGGGAAATGCTCGTGCATGACATGCATGTGTATGTATGTATTAACTTGCTGAAAGGGAGGGGAGAGGGAGCTGCGAATCAGCAGCCCGGTTCTCTTCCAGCTTTTACCGGAAGTCCGCGGAATCGAGACTCTGGGGTACCTACTCGTCTGCCATATGGAGTTGCCGGAGATTGTATCGCCAAGTTTCTGCTGGTGTCCTCGATATCCCTATGAAATGATATCCCAGCTGTACACCTTCCTGTAGAGGAAGCATCACGTCTCGTCCCTTGAATGAAGACACTTGCGTAACGACTATGGTCTACTCAAACCCAGTTGCCGATCAAATATCATCCCAAAGTGGCACTGTCACGCATCAAAATCACGCATCGATATAGTACTATCATGAACCTGTCATCGCCAAGGCTTCAGCCCCTCCCCCTTCGCCAGTCTTCCGGGAAATCCTATGCTTAAATCTAGCCCCAAGCTATATAGTCTATAGTTTATCCGGTTAGATGACAAGACTAAAGGCTGATCATATGATTGCCATCCAGGTCGAATTTACACGCGCGGTTGGCTGGCCGAGGATCCGAAGATTCCTCCTGCAACCTAGACGGTTGGCCTATTCGCAAAACAGGTTTCCTGCATTATTATCCTTTGTCCACTTGTGGCATGATTGAAAAAGACACGGAGAGACTATTGCTCCGAACAGCGAGTGAAGAGGCTGTCTGGTGTTGTTGTTGTTGTTGCTGTTAAACAAGGATACTTGTCTGGCTGGAGGATGACTCGGCATAGGACACTATATTCTCGCGTATCGTTTCAACTGCCGATGCCAGTACCGGCTCGGAAAAGCTCTCCAGTGCCTATCCTATGAACTGCTCAGTACATCAGTTTATCCGTGAATATCCGTGGAGGGGGAGTATCCGGATATCCGTCACATCGTAACAGAGTTATAGGTACTTCGTGGACACCTATTGAGAATTCCATATTTACCGTCTTTGTGCTTGAAACTTGGTTAGAGCAATCAGGCTTTCCTTTATAGTACCTTACAGACGTCGGTGATGGCACGATCGGCTGGTGTATATCCGTATCGCCAGTCGGATACCGTACTTATCAATGCGGATCATGCATCCCAGCATCTTCTCCCACATGGCCTCGGTCCTGAGCTGACGCTGATCGACTGGTCCTAGTCTTGCTGACCGAGTCCCAGCCCTTCTTTATATATGTCCTGCCTATAACAACAAAGATATTCATGCTCTATAGATCTCAAGTTATCCCTGTGGTAAGAGGCAATGGTATCGTCAGCCGCATGCTTACCCAGTATATAGCAGAATAGGCATCTGCGGGCTTTATATGAATCGTCATCGGAAGTACTCCGTATTATGCACGAATCATATGATACAACGTTACATTCTTCTATAATTAGGATAATATGGAAGAGCAATGGTATGTCGGATGTCGCCCCCGACGAACCAGATATAGCAGGCTCTTATACTAATGTGTTGTCCCTTCAAAGGAGGGCCGATTCCCCGATCTCTCTTAAGCTATAGTCTCCTAACCTTTTTCGAAACCCTTCAATCGACAAAACCGTCACTTGGCAACGGCAACTTCGAATCATCACAGAACGACAATGCGCGTCACAGTGGCTCTCGCAATGCTGGTTGGCCTGGCCGCCGCCATGCCCAAGTCCCCCCTGTTCAAGAGACAGTGCCCGACTCAGCCCCAAGGATGCTGTATCCAGACAGGCACCTGTGAGACTTGTTACCTCGACGGTGTGCCTTTCGACTGCAACTGCGAATGCCTCGAGGTCGGAGGCTGTCCTTGCACCGAGATCGCCACTACCCCTGAGGGTAAAGTGTGTGTCGGTTGGTCTGCTGCCCCTGGTGGAGTGGTAAGTTTATACTCTTTGCTATGCTTCTTTGTCCAGTCTCTGGAAATTTTGATAGCAACTGACTCGATTTCAGTGTTAAATCCACTGTATTCCTGGAAATCACGAGTTGTCCCATGACAAAGAACTGCATAAGCTTGATGGACTTCAGTCAACCTGCACACTTGATGGATGGCTTCAGTCATGGTAGACTATACAGGAGCACCCTGTTCCGCCTAGGGACACATTTAGAATCAAAATATATCAAGCAATGTCAAAGCAAGACCCCCTTTGAGCGTCAAACATGATTCACGTCTGTTTCGGTACTCTTTGCAATGAATCAATGATTTGTACAATATTCCTGGAGAAGGTGCACAAGTTGTCATTGATAAACCCGTCGAGAATCTAGTCCAATTTGCGTAGGCGAGTATAGTATATGGGACGTGAGAGGTCAATTGACACGGCATTTACAACTATGACCATACAGGAGATAATGATACATACAATAAGACGAAGTTGATTCTTGTTCAGGATTGTACAGAATATCTGACCGACAACTCGATATGAAGAAACTCTTGTCTTTTGGCAAGCCACGTGATACACTGTCACCCTGACCTCGCTTCTGCCCAACCATCTCCTCTTCACCTTTTCTCCTTCATTGGCATCACCGGCCTCTTGAAAGACAATCATCATGCGTTGGCTTCTTAATTACTTTTAGGCTGCAGACGACGTGCTGCACGCATGCATACGTGATGGTAATCTTGGAAAGCTTCAGCAACTACTGGCTGCCTCGTCTGCCTCGGACGTCATGATAAGATGACGGACTTCGCTGGAGATTTGATATATCTCGTGGTTTCGACACGGAATCGCAAGCTTGGATGTTGAACCTAGACGGCAGGATTGCAGCGTCTTCGCTCGACCACCGTCTGCGAGATACCATGGCAGACCAGTAGGCTCAAAGACTAGAAATACTACCTGCTCTGTCGCCTCTGTACTGGGCAGCTAATCGTGGTGCTGTCGGCGGCATACGGGCGCTACTGGCTCATGGTGTTGACTTTCCGTCAATGGATGAAGACGACATCTCTCTAACCAGAATGGCGGCCGAGTCAAAGTTTCTCAAGAGGCAGCCCGAGCTTCTTGATACCATCATAGGACTTCTTCCTGGCAGATGGCGCATGATTTTAAGCCATCTGCATTTCTTTCAGATAATGTCGCGCATAACTGACGACATGAGAGAGCAGGGGACGGTACAGGTACAGTAAGAGGAGCACTTGAGTATAGAACTATCCCAACCACTCACTACAACGCCATCTCAGTCGATTGGAACGTGATTCCTCTGTGACGAGGGTTTAAGGAAAGTACATCACCGCTGATGAGCACCTCATGTCAGGCTCGGGATGCACCGGACTTCCTCCACCTACCTACACAGGCGACAATCGAGTTACATGACCAACGGCTCCTAATATAAGGGAGATAATATCTAATATTGAACTTCAAGGCACATATAGAAAGCCAAAGTAACTGACTACCAAAGTAATACTCTAAGATTGGGCTGCCCAAGGCCATATCAGTCCTAGGCCATTGACCGGTTCTCTCCGAGAGACTTGGGTATGGATGGCTGGGAGCAGCCTCGGTTGCCGTTACTAGACGCTAAGCATGTCAATCAACACGAATCATGACCACTTGGCCCGGAGCAAACGCTTGAAACTCAGACCAATCAATTGCTCCCTACAGTCAGACAATTATGTCATGACCAGCAAAAGATATTCACTGTTGCTTTGCTTTAGCTGCGGCGTCGGTTGAAAACGGGCCATTTGTGGCGGGTTAGCCATCAACAAGACTTATTGCCTGGAACGCGAGCTCTGAAAGCAGATTATGACAAAACCCTCAAGAACAGACTCAGCTGTTACTTTTCAATCCTCCGTTCATCCCGTCACTCCACCACGAGGACGAAGGGAAGAAAGACGAGGACAAAGGGAACCCGATCCCCATGTGGGGAACCCCATACCAAGAGCGCCAGCTCACGTGCACTCCCACGTGACACTCACAATCCGCTCTCCGGCGTGCGAAGCCCAGTGGCATCGCCGCCGCATCTGACTTTGTCCCGGCCCTTCTCCAAACCGGCTTCTCCAACCCCATCCCGCTCAACCACCAACCACCACCGGCCGGAAAACCCAATTGCGGCCTCAATCCTTGCACTTCGAACAACTTCATCACATCACACGAGCGACACCGAGAAAGAGAGCAAACCATCACCAATGGCCCTCCTCCGCCAGTCAGTCGCTCCCCTGCGAGCCATGCGCTGCAGCAGCGTCCGCCAGCCTCTCCCCACGACGGCGCGCAGCCTCTCCATGACGACCCGACGACACGGCGGCCACGGCAACGAGTCGCAGTTTGAGCCGCCGACCGGCTGGCTCTGGGGCATCAAGCCGGGCGAGAAGCCCGAGCCCGAGGGGTGGGAGTGGCCGATGTACCTGTTTGGGGCGAGTCTTTTGGTGACGGGCGTTGCGTTGGCGTTTAAGCCCGATACTTCGTGAGTTTTTCTTTCCCACCTCGTTGTCTCTGCTGGGATGGCTCGCGGAATGTTGTTTTTCTCGAAAGGTTGTCCGGGGTATATGGGATGGGAGCGGGGACAACGGTCGTGTGGCTTCGGCTGCGCTATTTTGGACATTGTGCGGAATCTTTGTACTGACGTGGGATGAACCCATAGTGTTTCGACCTGGGCTCTCGAGGAGGCGCGAAGGAGGTTAGAGGCCGAGGGTGTTCTGCCGGACCCAGAGAAGAAGAACTAAAGCGGCCGGAACGTGGGGTCGGCCACGGCTCATAGAGGAGGAGACAAAGGGGGGGAGGAGGGGGGAAGAGTCATATCAGACAGCCGCTGGAGAGAGAGTGAGGGAGCATTGTTGGGAGTTGCCAACATGTACATGTTTACGGCATTTTGTCATTTTCCTTGGTTTTGCTTTTTTTTTGGGGGTGTTTCTATCATTACAAAGACATATGGGCGGTCCCCCAACGGCGATGAGAAATAATAGAATTGGTTTGTTGGACGAGTATGAACTTCTTCTTGATTGCACTGCCAGATGCTCAATATGTGACGGGCAAACTCTACTATACGCTAATCAAAATGTTTGCCTCTTAGGTACTTTTTCCAGCTTTCTCCTTCTCTATACAAGCCCCTTATACCTTGACGCTCCATTCGTGCTCAACGTCGCCGTACTGAATGGCCTCCATCCACTCCTTGACCTTGGACGCAATCTCGCCCGACTCCTCCGTCTCCTTCAGCCCGCAGTCGACAAGTTCGCCCTTCCAAGAGATCTTCCTGACGGGGCTCACAATGGCCGCAGTGCCCGCACCAAAAGCCTCCAGCAAGCGGCCCTCCTTGGCCGCCTCCGCCAGCTCCCGCATGGTGTACTTGCGCTCGCTAATCTTCCAGCCCTCGGGCGCGAGGCGCTCGCGCGCGAGCTGCAGCACCGAGTCGCGCGTCACGCCCTCGAGGATGGTGCCGTCGAGGGGCGCGGTGACGAGCTCCTTCTGGCCGGTGGCCTTGTCCTTGAGGGCGACGAACATGTTCATGGTGCCGACCTCGGTGACGTACTCCTCCTCGCCAAAGAGCCACAGGTTCTGCTGGAAGCCGCGGCTGGCGGCCTCCTGCTGGGGCACGATGCAGGGCGCGTAGTTGGCGCCGAGCTTCTTGTCGCCGACGCCGCCGGGCCAGGCGCGGACGGCGTAGTTGGTGGCCTCGAGCGAGACGGCCTTGAAGCCGGTCGGGTAGTAGGGGCCGACGGGGGAGGCGATGACGAAGAGCAGGGCCGAGCCGGGGGCGCCGACGCCGAGCGTGCTCTGCGTGCCGATCAGGGTAGGGCGCAGGTACAGCGAGTAGCCGCGGTGAGCGGGGATGAAGCGCGCGTCCAGCTTCGTGAGCTTGGCGATGAGCTCGATGAGGGCCGTGGGCTCAAAGGTGGGCAGGGCGATGCGGGCGGCGGACTTGTTGAGGCGGGCCATGTTCTTGTCGGGGCGGAAGAGGCGAATGTCGCCGTTCTTGTCCCGGTAGGCCTTCATGCCCTCGAAGCACTCAAAGGCGTAGTGGAAGACGCAGGTGGCCGGGTCCAGGGACAGGTTCTGGTAGGGGGTGATGCGAGGCTCCAGCCAGCCGTCGTCTTTTGTCCACTCAATGGCAAGCATGTGGTCTGCAGTGGATGGTGTTTAGTATGTATGATGAAATGATTCATGAGAAAGAGAGGATCTCACCGGTGAACTGCTTGCCAAAGACGAGGTCCTCGGGCTTGGTCAGGGCCTTGGGCGTCTTGGTCTTCTCAATGGTGAGCCTTGAGGCGTCCAGAGGCCGCTGTTTTGAGTGAGAGGCGGCCTCGGCCTTGATGCTGTAGAACCGGACAGGGCGATGCGCGGGCAGGAAGCGCGAGGCCCTGGATGCGCTCAAGAGCGCCGTTCTGGGGAAAGCTGATCGCATTGTAAGGCTGGTCAATATCTGTCTGTTCTCTTGTCCAATTGGATCTCAAGTGCTTCGGTCTTGGTATCCCCAGTCAAACAGCAATCCCGACTCAACAAATGAGACTCGAGTCAGCTCCAAGATACTCCTGGCCAGATATATATATATATAGAGGGCTTGCTGGCAGAGAATGACGAGGCCGGAGAGAGGTCAAGTGCAAAAGCAGCCCGGTGGCCCTTTTTGCGGGCTGGCATCAAAATGCCCGGAGCGGTACCGGAACTGGCCTGCGGGCTTAGTCGTGCCTGACGGTACCAGCAGCCCAGGCACACGCGCGCCCCGTTGTGCGGTACCTGCAAAACCTCGCCTTTAGCGCCGGCCGTTTGCTTTGACTGTGATTGCTCTTTAGATTAGGACCTGGAATATTAGTAGTCCTCTTACTCGGAGAAGCCCGAGGGTACCCGCACAAGCCGAGTTGGGCCGCCACTGGTCTTAGTCTATTGCTGCAGAGACGGCATTGTTTGCTGTAAGCGGGCGTGGTGGAGGTGGCACCGATATAGGACTCGGTGATGGCCTTCTGCAAGGGGACAAGCTGTGATGAGTGGCCGGGTGTATCAGTCCAATCGGTACGACCCAGCATTGATCCTGTCTGTCTCTTATCAAGATCTTGCCAGCTGATGATGCCTTAATACATGAAAAGGGATCTTCCAACTGTCTTAGTCAGGATGCCCTGGAAGAATAGCTGTGGCTTGATTCTGTGGCGCAGTCACCAGCTCTCCGATAGTAGCACTGAAACATGATGCTATCAGTGGCTACGGAGCAAAAGCGCTGGCGGCCAATCGCAGAAGAGCTACGAGTACGAATAGCATCAGCTCGGCTCCCATACAAACAACCTGTCATTCATTGCTCAGCCTCGCCCTCGCCGACAGTCATTACGCAAACATCTTTTCAGCTGCAAAGCGTTGCTTCACCGTCCGAATTGCGCTGGCGCATTGATACCGTTGCCGTCTCGCTGCTTTGGCGCATTCAATCTTGTCTCCCTCTGTCCGTCGTTTAGCTCGAAATGACCTCTTAATCAGACCACACTCCCGAATCCGCTCTCCTCCACGCGAAGCACCATGTTCTCCTCTGCGCTCAAGACCTTTGCCGGCAGCAACATCTCGTCCAACTACACCATCTCGCCGAACCCCACCTCGACGGCCGGTCCGTGGAAGATCTACGATGCGAAGAAGAAGTCCACCGGCAAGGCGTACAGCGTCTTTGTCTTTGACAAGAAGACCCTGGACGCACACGCCAGCTCGGTCGGCAAGAGCAGTGCTTCCTCCTACAAGCGCAGCGTGGAAGAGGTGGTTGAGCGCTTGAAAAAGGAAGCATCCAGCTTGGCCAAACTGCGACACCCCAGCGTCCTCGAGCTCGTCGAGCCGGTGGAGGAGACACGAGGCGGAGGCTTGCAGTTTGTGACCGAGGCCGTCACTACGTCGCTGTCGAGCTTGTTACAGGAAAAGGACGAACAGGAACGCTCTGGCGGCCCCGGCGGCCGATCGAGCAGATACGTGACGGAAGATGCCGACGGCTCTCGCAGGAGGAGGGAGATTGAGATTGACGAGCTGGAGATTCAGAAAGGTCTATTGCAGATCAGCAAGGCGCTGGAGTTCTTACACGACAACGCGGGGCTCGTACATGGCAACCTGACGCCGGATGCCGTCCTCATCAACGCCAAGGCACGTCTGAACTTGAACCTGGTCTGTAAGAGCGGCAACGACTAACCGTGTTATAGTCTGACTGGAAGATTAGCGGACTGTCCTTCTGTAGCCCAGCAGACAACTCGACCAAACCCACCTCGATCCAGGGCATTAGTCTGCATGAGGTCCTTAACCTGGATCCCAGGCTACCCAAGTTTGTCCAGCTGAACCTAGACTATACCTCTCCGGATTTTGTCATGGACAACAACCTCACCCCTTCTGCCGACATGTTCTCCCTGGGTCTGCTGTGCGTTGCTCTGTACAACTCACCACACCAGTCGCCCATAGAGGCCCACGGGAGCCTCTCCTCTTACAAGAGGATCTTCTCCTCGTCCTCCACAGTCCCGACGACGTCCAACAACTACCTCTCATCCAGACCACTGCCCAGAGACCTGTCCAATCACGTGCTCCCCAAGCTCATCACTCGGAGGCCTGCGCAGAGAATGACGGCCAAGGAGTTTCAGCAAAGCGAGTACTTTGACAATGTCCTCGTCTCCACCATTCGGTTTCTGGATACTTTCCCTGCAAAGACTCCCACTGAGAAATCGCAATTCCTGCGGGGCCTCAACAAAGTGCTGCCGTCTTTTCCCAAGTCTGTGCTGGAGAAGAAGCTTTTGCCGGCGCTGCTGGATGAGATGAAGGACAAGGATCTCCTCTCCCTGATCCTGCAAAATGTCTTCAAGATCCTCACCTTGCTTCCGGCGGCGCGGAGGGCGTTTAGCGAAAGGGTACGGCCCGTCCTGAAGACTGTTTTTGTCGACAACGCAAAGCAGAACCAGGAGAAAGATCCGGCCCGAGACGCCGGCCTTATGGTCTTTCTGGAGAATATTGCAGTCATAGCGGACAACAGTAATGGCAAGGAGTTCAAAGATGGTAAGCACCCTTATTTACTTTAATTCCATCGCAGCACTAACATGTATGTGCCAGACGTGCTGCCGGTTATCATAGCTGCCATTGAGTGCCCTACCCCGTCCATTGTCGACGTGGCCCTCAGGAGCTTCTCAGTGGTGCTGCCCGTGCTAGACTTTAGCACCATCAAGAACGAGCTGTTCCCCGTTGTCGCCGCCGTCTTTAGCCGGACAAACAGTCTCGCCATCAAAGTCCGCGGCCTCCAGGCTTTCGTCGTTCTCTGCGGCGGCTCCAACGATTCCAGCGTCGACGACGGAGGCCTTAGTGGTCTGCAAGGAAGCAAAAAGCCGTCATCATCATCCAGCGCTCTGGACAAGTACACGATGCAGGAGAAGATTGTGCCCTTGGTCAAGGGCATCAAGACGAAGGAGCCCGCCGTCATGATGGCCGCGCGAGACTTGATGTACGTAGTCGGGCAGACGGCCGACGCCGAGTTCGTGGCCATGGATATCCTGCCCATCCTGTGGACCATGAGCTTGGGGCCGCTCCTCAACCTCAAGCAGTTCCAGTCCTTCATGGACCTCATCAAGACGCTGTCACGCAAAGTCGAGGACGAGCAGACGAGGAAGCTGCATGAGCTCTCCGGCTCGGCCAACGGCTCGACGGCCGCTGCCAACGAGGACTTTATGGCCTTTGGCGGCGTGACGGGCACCGCCTTTGACGCTGCCAACGGCGGCAACGAAGACGACTTTGAGGCGCTTGTCAAGGGGAGGGTCGGCGGCTCATCTGGCGTTACGAGAACGCCCACCTGGGACGATTCGCCGCGCGCGGCCTCCGCCGGCGTCAGTCGCTCGTCGACGGCCACGCCGCAGACGCCGTCCTTTTCCTGGTCGACGCAGCCCACGACGAGCCCTTCCGTGAAGCAGCAGCAGCCCCTCGCCCTGCAAAGCCAGCAGTCCTCGTTCCGCACCGTCACCCCGGACCTCAACCGCTTCGAGGTCATGACGCCCAGCTCGACGCAGTTCAGCCAGCCCCTGCAGCCGACGCCGGCGCAGCAGCAGCAGTCCGCCTCGGCCGCGCCCAGTTTCAGCTGGTCTTCGAACGTTGCAAGCACAACAGCCAAGAGCTTCACGCCTCCGCCCCTGACATCAAACTACTCTGCTACCATTTCAAACTCCAGCTCCACGTTTGCTACCCCGAGCATGACGGGCTCCATGTCCAATTTGACCCTCAACTCCTTCAACGCCCAACGGCCCACCCTAAATGACTCCCGCGGCTCATCCTTTTCTCTAGCACCGCCTCCAGGCAGCAATACTTCCGCGTTATCATCCCCACCGCCGTCAGGATTGTCGGGATTCAGCCTTGCTCCACCGCCGACAACATCAACAACAACCACAACAACACAGAACGCATGGAGCTCCAGCAGTCCCATGGGCCAACAACAACACCAGAAGCCGTTGAGTTTGGGCGGCATAAGCAGTAATAGCCCTATGGGAAGCACCATGGGGATGGGCAGTTTGTCGTTTTCGGGCAGTATGCCGCTACAGCCGCAACAGCAGCAACAGCAGCAACAGCAAAAGTCTGGTTTGGACAAGTATGAGAGTCTGATTTAGCGTTCACAATCACTTTATGGGGGTCTCACAGCTTTTGAATTCATGGTATGAAATAGCGATTCTAGGTATATAGCTTACGATTACGGGGGGGAAAAGGAGAAAGATGCATGAAAAGCTGTATGATAGTTGTAATTCAAGTCATCTCTTCCCACGGCACATTGCCATCGACAAAAAGAAAAAAAAAGAAGTCACATCATTTATATTCCCGCCGGCTCTCAACCACTCTATGTTAAGAAGCATTGCATAAAGACTCTCTGGATAGGTAGCTTGTGGTCTTTTCTTCTCGTCATGCCCTCTCGCATTACCGAGGCAAAACGATAAGAACAGCATCAACAAGACAAACCATCTAAGCCATCCCTTGTCCTGTCACTGCCCCTATACGTGTATATCCCTCCCTCTGGATAAAACAAAATAAAGGAAGAAAAGTGTAGAATGCCAAAGCTCGCTTGACAAACCCTCACGAATTAAACAGTCATAAAAAAGCTCAAGTCTTTCGAGAAAACAAGAAACTCAAACAGAAAGACAAAAATGAAACAAAAAGGTTAAAGCGGCAGAGCGATTATGAAGAAAAATAAAACAAGGGATCCGGAACGCCTAAAGTCTGCTCTCGTCTCTGGAGCAGACTCAACTGGACTCGAATGGAAAAAAAAAAAAAGGAAATCGACACAAAGGGCAATCAAAGAAAATCACGAGAATAAGTGAGCAGGCGCCCCCAGTGCTTTCCACGGTTTCAGGTGCTCTTAGTTCCTTTGGCTTGCTTCCCATCCTTGCCGTTTTGCGCAGGCTTGTTGGTGGCATCTTTGGCTTTGCCATTCGTCGGGGAGCCCCTACGAGTGGGAGGACTCCTGCGATTTGACGAGCTCTTGGTGGCCTTACCCTCTTTGACGAACTCGTCGTCTTGCGCCGTCTCAGCGTCCTTGGCGCCGTCGCCATTCTCGAGCACGTAGGGCTTGTTCGTCGTAAAGACATGACGGTTGGGATATCCCGGCTCGGTCCGCACCGATATCTCCTGGTCGGGCGGCACCATCTCGTGCACAAGCGGCCACTTGAGCTGCCGGCAAAGCTCGGCAACGACCACGTCGCAGTCGCCCAGCAGGTCAATGTCAAAGTTGATGTGCGTGACGGACTGGCGCGAGATGTAAATCTGCGGAATGTGCGGCGGCAGGAAGCTGGCAATCTCGGACACGGGCGTGACCTTGAGCGAGGTGCCAATGACAATCACCAGGTCGGCCTTGTCGCGGTCGTTCTCCGTCAGGCGGCGCGAGAACTCGTCGGGCAGCTCCTCGCCGAAGAAGGTGATGTCGGGCTTCATGACGCCGGCACTGGGCACGTCGTACTCGGAGTTGTTGTCGTCGGAGCTCTCGTCGGCCCAGCGCTTCCGCTTCTTCTCGGCGCCGGCGGACCGCTTTCGCTTGGGCGCGCCGGCGGCCTTGAGAGACGAGAGGCATCGGGTGCACCGGGGGATCTTGCCGGCCCGGATGTCGGGGAAGATCTTCTCGCCCTCGATCTGGTAGTGGCACTGGACGCAGCTGGCGGTGCCGAACGAGCCGTGGCACTGGATGAGCTTCTCCTTGGGCAGGCCCGCCTTGATCTCGAGGTTGTCAATGTTTTGCGAGTAGTTGGTGAGCAGCTTGCCGCGCTCGTGCAGCATGGCGATGAACTTGTGAGTGGGCGTGAAGCGGTCGGCGGACGGGATGATGTCCTTGGCGACGGAGTAGAAGATGGTGGGATCCTGCTTGAAGACCTCAATGTCAAAGACCTCCTGGGGGTCGTTGAGCCCCAGGTGCGCCAGCTTGGAGTACAGACCGGTGCCCTGGGAGCGGAAGTCGGGGATGCCCAGCGACGTGGAGATGCCGGCGCCGGTGATGACGATGATGTTCTGGCTCTTGTCGATGAGGCGCACGGCGTCGTCGACGGTGTTGTAGCGCATCAGCTTGGCCCGCTTGGACAGCTCGCGCGTAATGGCCAGCGACAGGAGGGGGAAGTAGGCGTCGTCCGGCTGGCCCTCGAGAAAGGCGGGCGGCCGGATGCCAAAGGCGCTGAGCAGCTTCTTTGCACTGTAGCGACGGGCATCGACGGTGCGCTGGCAGAAGACGGCAGGGCCGTGTTCACGCAGCTCGCGGCGCAGCCGGCAAGCCTCCTCCGGCGTGCAAGTGTCTGGTCCTGCGGGTTGGACAAGGGTCAGCGCCGCGCTCAATCATCTTCATCGTCTCACAACTGAGAATCCATCATGGGTGTATTGTCGAGACAGTCCATGATTTAGGGGGCCAGCCACAGGAGAACAAGAGCCAGATTGGAGCCGGCCTCGGTTGCCACCAACAGCTAGTTGCGGCCCTGGGCTCTCTGGCTTGTTGCTTGTTCTACCCTCGGCTTTCGAGGGGGGGGGGGGTTGATTGTCAAGGGTGAAGATGAAGCCACCGTCACAGAAGTGGTGAGACTGGGGGGAAAAAAGCCGCCCACGCGCTTCTCCGGCAACCCAGAAGCCAAAAATGAGGCATTAGGAGACAACTTGAGGCCTTTTGTCGTCCGGAGAGCAGATGGACGAAAAGCCGACGGAATCACAACGAGGCCAAAGAGGGTGGCAACTTACTACCAGAGTACACTCCACTCTCGTCCGTCAGTTCCTCCATGGCATCCTCCAGCAGCGAGTCCGTCTCCCACGAGTCGCGCACGTCGGCCACTCTCTCCTCGAGTTCCGCCAGCGAGACGTTGACCGTCGCCTCCTTGATCTCCTCAATGGTTGGGTTCTCGGGCAGCCGGTCAAAGGCATCGGCCGCCGCCTGGCTGCGCTTCGACAGGGCCACGCCCTTTTTGCCTGCAGGCGCTCGCTTCATCGAAAAAGACTGTCACTTTGTTTGACGCGTGCGTTGGTTGGGTGGACGGTTGCCTGTCGAAGCCCTCGAGGACGAAGAGGTCCTAGCACACGGCACACGTAATATGGCGGGAAGACAGGATAAGACAGAAAGGAATCAGATGTGGCTCGAAAACAGAGCGAAGAGAGAAAAGACAAAGGGAGAGTTTTTTTTAAAGAAAAAAGAAGGCTCTTATGCGGAAGAAGACGAAGAAGAAGAAGAGGAAGAGATGGAAAGTTTGCGCAAGGAGAAAGAAGGGGGCAGAAAAAGGTGGGTGAAGCAGAACAAAGAAATAAGTAGCAGAGACGGCGGAGGCGTGAATCGAATCAAAGGGAGTTGTGGAACCGAGCCGACAAGTTGCCGCGACAGTCTGCCAGAAAGCGCCGGAGTTGCCACGCGTTGAGCCGGCGAAAGGACGAGGTTGTTGATTTCTCTTGGTTGATTTTATGTGAGTTCTTTTTTTTTGTCTGTGTTGAGAGATGTGTGAAGACGAGATGGTGAGAGCGATGCTCAAGATGATTAAACAGGTGTCAATTTGCTTTGCTGACAACCGATGGATTACGCACTGGCGCCCAACTGAACCATGAGGCTCGGCGGAAATGACGAGTCAGGACAAGAGACGAGAACGTCAAGTCAAGAACGCAGCGAGGTGAAAGGGGAACAAGACGGAAGAAGAGACAAGATGGAGACTGCGAAAGAACAGGGTTGGTTGCAACAAGAGCAGAGCGGTCTAGTGTAAGTCTTGAAAAGAAGAGAGAGAAAAAAAGAAAAAAAAAATAATGGAAAAGGGAAGTGGGAAGAAGGCAAAAATTAAGATAGAGATAACCAAGGTTAAGAGTTGGTTCGGACAGTATGAAATAGCTCCGACGTGCTACAAATACGTAGAAAAGGGACAAAAAGAGCCAAGGGGGGCGGCCGAGGGAGGAGGTACATCTTAATATACCTCTTATTATTTGCCTGACGTTGAGCACAGCATCCGACCAGAACAAACAACCCATTCCGACGAGCATCAATCAATCAGTTAAGCATATCCAGAGTGTCCGTCTGCCTGCCTATTTGCTATCCTTTACCGACTGCAAGTCACAGCATGCGTGATTCACAGCTTCCATCTGGATTTCATGCTGTATCATCTCCTCGCAAGTCACAGCCGTCCACGTATCTCGCCCATCGTTTTAGCCCGTTCAACCAAGACTCTCCTCTAGTGTGATGCATTGCAAGACATGCCTTACATGCCTTGTGAAGACGCACCCACATGACACAAAGCACTCATTCTCCGTCTCTATGTTTCTCTCTCTCTCTCTCTTCTTTCTCGTAGAATTAGGCATTCAGCCATTTGTCAAACAACTCGCTTCATGCTGCATGCAATCACGCCCATCCCTTTCACCAAATCACTCACTTCATCATCCTGCGTTTGCCTCTTCTCTTCTCGGCTCTTCACCTTTACAGCAAGAGCTCTCATGCAGACACACACACACACCCGGCAAGTAACATAAATCCTCTACTTCTTTCTCATCCACTCAAACTCTTCCATCTCCCTCTCCCTCCTGATAAAAGCCGAGCGATAACCCTCAGTCCATGCAAGCCAACAATGCCGCAAACAACCTTGCATTATCCCATGCAAAGAAAAACCCCAGACTTCACTCCTCTTCCATCCAGACAAAACAGATCACGGCATGTAAATCCAGCAAGCCACACAATGCCGCCCGCCTAAAACAGAAATTCTGCATACTACCCGAGCAATGAATGAACGCACCCTCAACGAGTCACTCCCTCTCCCCTCTTCTCCTGTCAGAGAACTCAAGAACCAGGTTGACCCATGCCTGAAAAATAGTGGTCTCTTGTTGTTACCATATCGAGCGATGAGTCGTGACTGCTACCACGATTACGGAGTAGCAATACCCAACCTGACTCGCTTCCCTTCCTCCGTAAACCTCTCGTATCATCTATCGACTGCTCTCTCTTACCCACATTTTGTTAGAGGGACACAGAGAGAAAGGATGAAGATAAATCTTCCGAAGTAAGTCTCGCACGTGGATATTCCCGTAGAGTTTCAAAGACTTTTTTCTTCTCGCCTTAATCAAGCCCTTGCCTCGTAACTGTTGTGCCACTACCTGAGAACCCAAGAGTGTTCGCTGATCTTATTGCCTCTCCACAAACACCTCAAACAAACATTATCAACATACACCTTCAGTAAAGAAGATCAGATCAATCTCAACTCCCAATCGCAGTACTGCCCCCCTGCCTACTCTAAGCAATCAATCCCAACACACTACTCATACATACATACACAGAGACACAACACCTTCCAATACAGCCTATGTATGCAACCCCATCCATCCCCATCTCCCCATCCTTTAGGCTCCCATCATTTCCCACCTCCTCTCTCTCCCTTGCACCATTAGCTGCAGCTGTTTCTTCCCCGGCTGTCAGACGAGAATGTCACACACACCCGCGCGCGCGCGATTATCCACGCTCTTAGAACTTAACTGTAAATTCAACAAAGAAAGCATGTAGACTCGTCGTCGATTCATGACGGAGTAATCTGCTTTACAGGACCTGCCTAATCTACGCCCTTACAGACAGGTGGTGTTCATGACAGCCTCAAGGTTTCAAAGGGACACATCGCATTACATCTGAGTATATATATATATATATATATATATATATAACTGTGTAGAAAGATCAACGGCCAACGTACATCAACTTGCTAAATCAGGGATATCATGCAGAGGCTGTTCAGGTTCTCATTCATTTTTCTTCCACCATCAATCAAGTTGACCGCAAATTTAGCAACGATACCAAACCATACCAGACCATACATTGATTCCTACATACTGCATACCTAGGTACGGAACACACACACTTGAATTCGAAACAATGCCGCAATATCATATAGCATCAGAACCAACCCGCTTCTCATCAAACTCGGCCACACCTCACTCAACTCGTATACATTAACCGCAGGTCATTCAAAGATCACATACAAGTCTCACACGACAAGACACAAACAGCAGCATAAAAGAAAACTTCTCTTCATACAACATGACAATAAGTAATGATGCTTGATAAGAATACTAAAAGAGAGGTATCAAAGGACAAAAGTAAGAGAAAATCCATTACTTTCAATTTTAATCTTCATCGCATTACCAGTGAGTCAATCGTGTGTTCCGTCTATCAATAATTGCAAAGCGCAGCCGAGACCGTCTAACGCAACGAGCCTATGCAATGTTTTACCCAGAAAGAAAAGAGAAGAGAAAATTCGGTAAGAGGAAATGAGAAAAGGGGCAAGAGTGAGCGGGCAAGAGAAAGAAGAGTATGGAGGGGAAACTAAAAAATATAAACAAATCATCATACCCATGGGGAATCGTATTATGCAAAGCCTTCAACTCCCTTTACGCCTATTTCTGCACCTCGCTGCTGTGCCCTTCTGCGGGCTGCTGTCCCTGCTCCGAGCTACCTTCTGTTCTCGGCTGCTGTAGCTGCTGTTGATAGAGCTGCATCATGGCCTCCCTATCCTCCGCTGATGGTCGGCCGATGGGTGACCATCCTGCCGCAACTCCGGCGGCGACGATTCCGGCCATGACCGTGGGCGCTCCCAGAGCAGAGTTGGAGCGCGACCGGGTCGACCGGGTCGACCGCGAGCGCTGTTGCGAGATGGGGGTGGCAACCCGCGAGGGGAAACTATCTTCGCGGCCCTGCGTTTCCGACGAGGCATTGAAGGAGTTGGACCGCGAGTGAGACTGGCTCCTAGACCGTGCAATCATCTCCTTCGGGTGCTGGATGGCAAACTTGAGGTTGTTGAGGCGCCCTCCCTTCATGCGCCTCAAAAAGTTCAGTTCGTCGCGCACATCGGCCAATGGCTCTGGGTACATGTCCATCTCCTCGTCCGAGATCGTCAGGCCAGGGACCTGCTTCGCGCGTCGCTTGAGGAATTCGGGCACCAGCTTGACGACAAAGGTGTCGGGGATCAGGCGGATGAGAGCACCAACGGGGATGGAGAGGAATCCAAGCACGAGGGCAATCCCCCACATGCCTCCGGACTGGTCCTTCTTCGCAATCTGGAAGGCAGCGCCACCAACGAAGACGATCAGGATCTGACCGCCCATCATGAGAGTGCTGATGGCAATGAAAAACCAGTTGCGCGTGAGGCCCTCAAAGATGTTGAACTTGTTATCCAGGCGTCGGTTGCTATAAAATCGGTTAGCATCTCATCGCAGAGCTTGGGGCCAGGCTATAAATGTTACTTACTTCCACTGGTTGAAAATTTGCATCCACACAAAGGTGTTGAAGACCAGCGTCTCAATGTCCTCATGCTTGAGATTGTCATCTCCAACAATAGGCCCGACGACCTTGGTACTTCCATAGTACAGCAGGAACGTAATGGCCAGCTGGTACAGCGCTTGTCCGATAATCATCTTCCACATGGTCGGCGAGATGATAGAAGAGCCCTTGGGTTCGGGCTTCCTGTCCAAAACACTGTCCTGCGGAGGGTCCGTGGCAAGGGCGAGAGCCGCCAGCGTGTCCATGATCAGGTTGACCCAGAGCAGCTGGACGGCCGTCAGAACACTACTCTCAGACTCGCTGGACACAGCAGTAACAAAGGTCAGGATGACGGCGGTGATATTGACGGTGAGCTGGAACTGCAAGAATCGCTTGACGGCATCATTGACGGCACGGCCCCATTTCAGGGCCTTGACAATGCTGGCAAAGTTGTCATCCATGAGGATGATTGCCGACGCCTCCTTGGCAACTTCAGTACCCGCGATGCCCATGGAGAAACCAACATCGGCCATCTTGAGAGCGGGAGCGTCGTTGGTACCATCACCTGTCACGGCAACGGTCTCTCCCATCTCCTTGAGTCGCTTGACCAGGATGCGCTTGTCTTCGGGGCTGGATCGCGCAAGCACGTGCAGCCGGGGAATGATCTCCTTTTGCTTGAGCTTGCTCAAGTTGCGGAACTCGGGGCCTTCCATAACCACACT